TTTTTGATAATTCCCGGATGCAAAATGGTACGTTCTTTGCTATTGGATCAGGTCCCCTTGGGTCATCTTGTAAGTCGTCTAGTGCGTTCAATCCTCTAGAATTGTGACTCAGAATCCTCAAATTCTTTTTATCTTCTCAACTCACTGGCCCACCGCATCCATATCTTTCTTTCTGCCGAAACTCGCTCGTTCGCTGTAACACTGCCCCACCGGCAATTCTGGTTTCTCTCCCATACAACTACACTACGGCCGGCGAAGGCTGTTTTTGAACCACATGTTTTGATGAGCCTTATCAGACGAATAGTTAGACGTGTGGAAAGGCCCAGCCCGACTCGCGGCTGGGTTGTTTTTCCTGCGCTGACTTGTGGGAGGTTTGTGGAGTAGAGCGGTTGACTTTTGAGCTGATAACGGCCGAGGAGCGCTCGTGGGGATACGTAGAAGGACATTGGGTCTTGCGGTATGCTTATTGTTAGGGAAGGCAGCCTTCTATGTAATAACCCGTGGATTTTTCTAAATTTACCGCGTCTATGTTAAATAGTCAAATAATTTCTCAAAAAATTGTTTTTTTTTAAGATATCACCAACTTTGTTTATGAGAGAGTATATTTAATCAGGAGTGTTTTTTTTTCGCTATCTCTTTGCGAACTGAGTTCGCTAATGACCTGTTTGTAAGAAATTTGTATGACTTACATCAAACTGCTTGAAGCCATAGTGTATACGCTTCCTTTTCTATCAATCTGTCTGGAAAATAATGAGTCCAATATTGCGATCGCGTCGCTGAAGTAAAAAACAATGTTTTTCCGCGACACAATTGGTTTTCTCGGCGCCGAGGCGATTTTCGATGCGACAGAGTGCCCAATATTTTCCCGACAAACTGATAACCTCCTCGGTTTTGAAGCCGGCAAATTTCGGACCAAAAGTAGATGTTTTTCAATGCCAGCTTTCCGTCGCCCTGCCCTCCCCATCCGCTGCATCCAATCCGTTGCGCAATCCACTTTTTCCGATCGCTCCGGAGGGTGGGGTGTTGCCATACAAGCGGAGTCGTCGTCTTCTTTTTTTTTGAAGTGCAATCGCTCCGTAAAAGGTCAGACACACGAACTTTTCGTTTTTTATTTGATTCCGCGTGTCTTGAGAACCGTGAAAAAGGGTGGACTGGACTGGGGAAGGAGGAAGGACCAAGGGGTGAAAAAGTGTTGAGGTAGAAAAAAGGAGGAGCGGAGGACTAAGGAACTCAAACTGAGAGACTTTGTGAGCAAATGAGCTCCGCTACATTTATTTTTATTTCGGTTTCGATTTTTCGTCCAGAATTTATGATATCAGTCCGTCGGCAAAATAATGAACTCTTTGTCGCATTGAAAATCGCATCGCCGGGGAAAAATAAAGTAGAACCGGACCTTGTCAATATTTTCTTTTCCATAATATATATGTAGATTTGCGATTAAATATGAAGGCTTACCAGGCTATTAGAAAGATATTTGAATCATACTTCTTTGTATCAGCTTATCATCTTTCGTAGAATCATCTTTCTGGTTTTGCGATAACCCATCGGCAACGGTGTTCGTGACCGAGAGCGGAAAGAATTAACTAACTTTTCTGGACTGTTAAGAAATTAACGATATTGTGAGTCATACTCTGGTTGATAGATGGACGGCAAAATAAGACTAGCTTTTTTGAGGACCCAAAGGAAAGAGTGTGCCGGTCTGTCGGAAAAATAGTGAGCGTTTTGCCGCATCGACAATCGAATTGTCGCCGAGAAAATGAATTGTATCGCGGTAAAATCCAATTGCTTTTCATTGCGACGCGTTTGTCACAGCGACATTTCACTCAATATTTTCCCGACAGACTGATGTTTTTCCGTTCGTAAAGTCGCTGGAGTGTTTTTTGGCGACATGCACTGTGCAAAAAATTAATTTTTACTTTGCACTGTGCAATAAATCTTCTTCGGCTGTTGCTCGCACCCTGACATTTTTCGCACAGTTCGTGTCGCCGAAATCACTCCAGCGACTGTGCGAACCTACCAGTAAATAGTAAACACGCGATAGTCCAGCAAATTAGTCGGTAAACTTATCTGGAAAAAGAGAAAGTTTTGAAGTTCTTGTGTAATAACTGTTTCACGTTAAACTTTAGATTCCTGAAAATGGAGAACTCCAATTTTGATGAGTTTTGGCTTATACAAAGAATAAGGCTTTGTGAAAAACGTGCTAGATTTTTGGCTCGCGTTGAATTGCCCGCTGCTAAGAAAAGGCTAAAATTTATAGGGATTGCAGTGATGATAAAAAGTCGTTCTTTTATTTTCCCACAACTCGGTAAACATTGCCGTATCGTTATTTTTAATCCATATTAAAACAAAAAATCCTGTTTTTCCAACTACTTTGTTATTACTTGTTCTTCCATCATCAAATCTCCAAATTTCTCCCAAAAACACAGTCGAACAAGTTGACTGTAAACCCAGTGTAAAATATATCAAAATGAAAATGCGTTGGATGTTTTTTTCTAATCTCGAGGGAAAGGTGGTGTTCCGGACGCCGTTCAAACCTGTAATTTGTTCGGCCTTCGGAGGCTCCGCCCACAAAGAAGGAGAGAAGAGTTTTCTCAATAATCTATCATTTTTACAAGTGGTAAATAGCATTTGGGTAGTGGGAGGGCTGAAATTTCTTATTTTTATTTGAGTTTCAAGATTTGACAAAATGTCACAAAATTATTGGAATTTTTTGACACTTCGTTAAAGGACCAAACGGAGTTTTGTAGTGTCAAAAAAGATTTTTGGAGCTTTTTATGTTTTTTACGTTGTTTAGCGAGTTTTTTACATTGTTGTTCACGTTTGGACGAAATGTCACAGAATTATTGGACTTTTTTGACACTTCGTCAAAGTTTAAATAGAGTTTTGTAGGGTCAGAAAAGAGTTCGGAGCTGTTAAAATTTTTATACGTCATTTGCCGGACTTCCTTACGTCAGTTTTCGATATTTGGACGAAATGTCACAAAATTATTGGAAGTTTCCTTTTACCGTTTTTTTCCTCTTCCAATCTTTTTTCAACCCTCTAAAATTCACCTAGTCCTTTTTCAAGACCCCTTAAGGTCAGTCGCGTAAACGTCTTCAGGTTCCGTTTCGACCTCCTACGGGCTTCCGTGGAAGCCGGCTACCTTGATCCGTGGCGCTAACTCGTGCCGCCCTTCACCAGCCATCTGAAGACTCCACCTTTTCCCCAATATAACAACTTCGTTGCGAAGGTTGTCTTTCCTTTTTGCTTCTTTTCTCGACCGGGGTCATCCGCCTTTCGCGTAAACCGAAGGGCGGAGGGTTTCAGCTGTTTTTTGTTTTGAGATTTTTGAGCATTTTTGGGCTGCCAAATTGAATTTTCTTCACTGTAGATGACTGATTTTATCTTGCCAAATGTTTGAAAATACGTTTTTTTGGATTTTTGAGCAAAAAATCATTTTTGAGATTTTTTCAATTAAAAAAAAATTAAGAATTCCAAATTTCAATGTCTTCCACGTCCCTCTTAGATCCGAAAATTTTTGAAACCAATCATATTTGGCCTCTGATTAACTCGACGGTTTCGTCGTCTTTTTGAATTATTCAAGAGTTATTATAATATTTTTTCATTTCTCCCTTTATTTCTTGCTGACATTGAATAGTAATTCGAATAATAATCCAATTTGAGCCTGCAGACAGCCTGTTTGTGATGAGTTGGCCAAAAATTCTGTTGATTTCGAAGTATCGTCGAAATTTTTGGTCCTTCTCTTTTAATGTTAGTGTATAAAGTTTTTTGTGATTTTCTCAACGGTCAGTCCAGCGATTTGCTTGAAATTCCACGCGTGTTTTCTGAGTTGTTGGTGTAATTGAAATTGAAAATCTTAGCTTGCAGTTTGCAAGGAGAGCCGAGATATTCAACGATATTGGCACATGCTACGGAAAGTGAGAAAAAGTGGTCGGAAATTTTCTCGGGCGATTTTTTTTTTGCATTTTTTACTTAAAAAGTCTATTTTCGGCGGAGATATTGTTATTTGGGGTCAAACAAAATTTTCAAAAAAAAATGAATTTTTTCCATTTTTTGATTTCCACACGTTTCTGCGAAGCGTAAGCTAAAAATCTGGCATTTTTTAAAATTTTAGCCCTACTAGTCCTTTCGAATAGTCGCTGGAATTATTTTTTGGCGTTTGTACCGTGCAGAAAAAGCCAGGGTGTGAGCGACAGCCCAAAAAAGCCAGTTCATCATAGCTTATATATTTTATCAAATTTAGAACCATTTTTTGATCGAAAGATGACGATTTTTTGTAGCTTCAAACAAACCTTTGTTTATCCCCATTTCTACTAGATTCTTTCCATTTTTTTTAAGTATTTTTAAACAATATTAGTCAAGCTTTTCCCGAAATACCTTGCTTTGAAGGCCCTCAACAAATGGATCTCCGCATGTGCACAAAAATTAGCATATTTTTGCCGATTTTTTGAGAGAATTCCCCTCGATTCGCGAAACTTTTCGATGCCAAACAAGCCGCTTGTCCTGGAAATTTTTGATCGAATTCAAATCCCGGCTTTGCATCGCATTGCGAACATTTCTGGTTTCGGCCGGGGGAGTTTTGTTTTCGAAGATTCGAGTGCAATGACACTTATTTTATTAGACCCCTCCAGCTGGGGAATTCCGAAGTTTTTGCGATTTTTTTTGAATATTCAAGGAATTAAATAGACAGAAATAGAATTGTCGGGGTTCACTGAAGCCAACCTTTAATCATTTTGAAAAAAAAATTTTGGATTTTAGATTTTTTAAAAATTTTAATAATTTTTTATTTTCGGTTTTTTATCTTCAAACTTTTTTTTCGAATGTTCAATTACAATTTTTACATTTTTCCGCGATAAAATCGTCATTTTTCCCTTTAAAATTTTTTTATTTTTTCCCTTCCAGCCTCTTGGTCAACAGTCCCAAATTCCTAATAAATCGACCAAAAAGCACAGTAATTCCGACTCTCCCCACCGTCGACCAAGCCTGCAAGGCCTCGAAGAATGCTGGCCACGTCGCAAAAATCGCAGTCCTCGCAAAATGGCCAAGCGACCAATCAGATCACGGCCGCACAAATCCAAGCTTTAATGGGACTCCCGTTGCCGGGTCTGATGTCCCCACCGAATGCTCTACAAAACATGGCCAAACACGGCCAGAAACAGCACTGTTACCTGTGCGATTACCCTCGAATGCCGTGGGCAATGTGCCATGATTACGCTGAAGCGGTTTGCCGGGGCTGTGTGAACTATGAAGGAGCTGAGAAGTAAGGATTTTTTTGCGATTTTTTGAGCTTTTGGTTGATGGCTTTTGATAAAACTTGGAATAGCAGTTGTATATGATATTCAAGTTCATTCAAAAACAGAAAAACTAAGAAAATCGCAAAAAAAAAATAATTTTTTTTTCAAAATTTGGCTTTAAAATTTGAGTTTTTTTACAACTTTTACCACATTTTCACAAAATTCCCTTTGCAGAATCGAAGCGGTAATCGAAAACGCCAGAAAAATGAAGCAACTCCACGAGGCGTCCATCCAACTCGAGACCGCATCCAACGCCTCCTCCGCCACCTCCCCTCCCATCCACAACAACAACAACGGGCCCGCCAAGCCGGCGCCGCTGAAAGAGGTGCCGAAGCCGCGTCCCCAACCACCCATTCCGCAGATCCCGGCGAGCACGGCGCCAATCCTGCCGCCCTTGCCGAGCCTCAACCAATTCACGCAGCTCAACGACTTCTACACACAGCAACGGCTGCTCGGAATGACAAGATCGTTGGCGGGTGGGCAGTTGGATGATTTGCAAATGCAACAGCTGCGACAAATGCTTCCATTCCTGCCGTCGCCGCTGCTCGGCAATGGATTGGCGGGAACGGCGAATTTCCCCGGACTAACCGGATTGCCAGGGTTGGCGGGCCGGAAACGAGAGCACGATGAGGAGCTGAAGTCGGAGATCTACGCCAAAACTCACAGAGGTTGGTTTTTGAGATTTTTTGATGATTTTTGAAAAATGTCACAATTTGGTCACTATGACAAAAATTTAGTCAAGGTTATCCAATCCAAAAATTTGCTTAAGCTGCCATTTTGTAAATTTTAAAATTATGACAAAAACAGTCATGATGACAAAAAATGTCATCCCTGAAAATGTCCTCGAAACACCTTCGAAGGTGGTTTTTATAGCGTCTCCATGCTACAGACTACTTGTAAAGAGCATTACAAAAATTTTCTCGCCAGCCCTTCCGCTCTTGTAAGTACCGCAAAAAACCGGAATTTTGCCCCCCAAAGAGAGTTGTGTTTGTAAAGTTAAAGAGTAGTAACAATCCTGAAGGCCTGATCGTTGTGACAAGCCCTGGTACGGAGCGGTACGCTGAGAAATTGCTGAAAAATTGGAGAAAATTTGCGTCATTAGGGCAGGTTTTGGCTCAAAAAGACGGCCGGGGAAAAACGCTTGCAACTTTGGGGGATTAAGCAGTAGCGACGTGCCGTTGGCGGCAAAAAGGAGCTTATAATATGTGTTATCAAATATGTCAAGATACGGTCGATGACGTAACAAAAATTTAACGCAAAACAACACTTTTAAGAAAAGATTTAGCTTGTGTTAGGGCTAGTATGGAGGGCTGACAACTCGACGACGACTAATTTTAATAACACGGTTTTGCTCCTAGCTTGTAGCGTATGACTCATATCCCCTCTCTACGTGCATTACATTAACGCAAATACTTCTTTAAGATGTAGAATCGTCTTTTTTGTAACCCACTCTAAAATTGTAAATTGACCCCGAACCGGTCGATAAATCAGAGGACACCCTAACATCGTCTTTCCAATCATAAATTAAGAGCCTTTTACGGTACCTAATCAACAATTACAAAACAACCTGGCTGACTTAGTTGCATTACAGTCCGCGGCAGGACTGGTTTTCCGCCGATTTTTCGTCGAATTTTCGTTTCGTTTGGCTGCGTTGTAATGTCAGCGAAACATTGAAACATCGAGTTTATTTTAGTCGGAAGATGCTTAGGTTCAAGGTTGTCATCGATTATAAAGTTTGCTTAAATTCCTTCCGCTTTTGCGGGGAGCAACTGGCTTACCGTAGGCTTGATAAAATGCTGACATTACTTTCGAAAACGATTTAAATTTGAATTAAACGCACTGAAATACTTTCTCATGTCTTGCAGAGTAATTTCCAGCTGCATGCGAGGCAAAAATCGAGAACAACATGTTTTCGTTGCGAGACCCAAAATTTTCAAATTTAGACTGAATAGTTTGATAAAGCCTTCATCAGAGCTTCAAAGATATCATTAGGTGGTTTTTTGCACTTTTCCATGCATAGAGCCCAACGATCATGAGCGTTTTTGCATCTTCACCAATCATATGGCACAACTTGATTAATGTCCCCCGAAAATAAAGTTTCACCCCAACCTTTTCACTCGCCTTTCTTCTTCTGTTCGCTAAGAGTGCATAAAAAGTAACCTTTTGCGTCGATGAAAAGTCGCGAAAAAAAGTAATGGGTGGTCAAGTCACAAGACGGGAATAGCCTTGTCAGCTACCGTAAAAGGAGTCAAACAGGAGTTTGCGATGGCGTTCTGCCAAGGTTGGCAAATGTTCGGCCTTGGCTCGATGCCACCTCTCGATGGACGAACAAAAATTTGAATTCTCGGCGGAAGGGTTGTTTGAAGTCGGTCGATGAAAGTGGCTGATAACAAAGTGAGAAATTGAAGCCGAGAAAGCCGTTTCGATTTTTAAAAGTTTGAGGGCTCAAAGCTGCAAAAAATGGGTTTTTTTAAAATACTGCCTGAGGTAATTGTTATGTCTAAGATTATTGAAAAATTTCCATTCCTTGAACACTGTAAGGCTCGGTGAATATCTCGGTTCCCTTTGTAAAGTGAGAGCTGAACTGTTGAGAAATCTTACCAACAAACAACTAGAAATTTTACGGCTGTATATGGCTAGGAGTACTCACTAGGGCATGTCAGGAAATTTCTGGCGTTGCAAAGATCCTTCTCATGGAAAAAATCCAAAAAATCCGTCAACGAAATTGCTTGTGGCCAAAGTTTTGAATCCAAAATTTGTTGCGGAAACCCTGGGGAGCCCCGGGTTTTCGTGGATTCCCCTGGGCAACCATGTAAAGCTATTTTTTACAGCAATGGCACTTTTTAGACGGGTTTCATCGTGACACGTTTCCTGGACAGACGAAGCTTTACAAAAGTCCCGAGATATATATGTTTAAGAGAGGGGCAACGGCTTGTAAAACTTTTCCCCTCAAGCATTCCTCCATAACCCTCGAAATCCTCGATTGCATCACCGGAATCCCGGCGAAACAAGGTCATCGGATGGGATGAAGATGCGACTACACGTCCCTTTTTTTGCGGGAACCGGTTCCGAGCAATTTTTTGTTGTTTTTCGGCTCCGGAACGGTCGCATCTTCTCCTTCTTCTTTTTCGGAATTTTGACCTGGAAATGGAGGTCGCGCGGCTGACTGGCACCGGCCGGTACCCAATCAACCAACAAAAAAAACGCTCGTAACCTTGTTGCAATTACTTTTCTGGCAGCTTTTGTTACGTCGGCGGAATCAGATGGTCTGCCGGTACGGTAGCTTGGAGGAGAGTTGATTAGAAAGGCGATAAATCAACAACAGCGGGTACAGGGTGTAAAATAAACAATTGAAACAACGGTGTTCTCGAACAGCGGGGTAGTTTCGATGTTCAGATTGTAACATGGTCAAAATATATGTCGTAGTATACTACATAGTATCAGTTTGTCGGGAAAATAATGTGGATTTTTTGCAGAAAATCTTGCTTTTTTAATCGTCGCAAAGCGAAAGGTTATGCGATTCCAAGCCGAGAAAAATCCATATTATTTTCCCGACAAACTGATACCCGGCGCAAAATGTCCTAAGAATTTGCTTGCACCAAAAATACTGTTGGTTCTAGCCTGAATTTGACCGCAAAGATATAATGCTCACCAGTCTGTCGGGAAAATAATGTGGATTTTTTGCGGCTTGGAATCGCTTATCATCGCTTTGCGACGGCAGCTGCGGCTAGAGATTTGGTGCGCAACTGCGACGAGGAGACATTTTACTCCGGCAAATCCACATTATTTCCCCGACAGACTGATACTTCTCCATCCAAAAATTCTTGATAATTTTGCTGTGTTCTCGATGCGGAAATCGCAAAAACCGTTCTTTGCGCAGTGAATGTTGTATTTTTTGCCTTATCAGTCTGTCGGGAAAATAATGACCACAACGCATCGAAAATAGCACCGCCGGCGAAAAAATGAATTGTGTCGCGGCAAAATCCAATTTCTTTTCACTTCAGCGCCACTCGGCGCAGCGTCATTTGCTCATTATTTTCCCGACAATAGTAATACTTGTTGTCGGTAGGCCCCCAGTGCTTCGTAAGGGCGTGGGACGTCTTAAAATTACATATGAAGTGTAGTCCTTATAAGGCAAATTCTCCAAACTCTCCCGAAATCACGGAGTTCTCATCATTTTTTTGATCTATTGCTCTTCCCGACCACTTTGCCCTCGGGTTTTTGTAATTCCGCTTCCAACAATGTTTCCACAAGAATCCCATTAATAACAGCCAGCAGCGGGGCGAACAACTGGTTCCCGTTCTTATCACACCGCACCGACATCATGTGTCCGTTCGCGGCCTTGACGAGCTGTTTTTTGCAGTAGTTTTTGGTTTTGGACTTTGATAAAAATTCGTTTTTTTTGCAACTTTACAATGTTGAAGGTGGGTAGGAAATGGTGTTTCGGCGCATTAACGGGATGGAATTTGGTGGATATTTGGAGAAGATGACAAATATTGAGAGAAGACGAACTGTGATTGTGTGTAGAAAACAGTGAAAACAACAACCGGTTCCACGGAGAGTAAAGAGCTTAGTTGTAGAGAGGAAATTATTTTTCTCAATATTCTCCCTAATGTGTGCACTTCCTGCTTCAAAAAAACACATGATTCTAATGATAGCATGATATTTTTGGCTTTACACTTCCTAATGTGTTTTTCTCCGTAGAAAATCCGCACTAATTGGCAAAGTCTTTCTGATAAGAATACATAATAGTAATAAAATAGTTTGTCGGGGAAATAATGAGCACTCTGTCGCGCCGATAGTCGCATCGCCGCCGAGAAAATGAACTGTGTCGCAACAAAATCAAATTGCTTTTCACTTCAACAACGCTGTCGGCGAAGGAAAAATTTTGCTCATTATTTTCCCGACAGGCTGATATTTATCATTTGTCTGGAAAATAATGTGGATTTGAGGCAGAAAAATGCAAAGGAGCGACGAATCCACGTTATTTTCCCGACAGACTGATATGTCGGCTCCTAAAGCAGTGCTTGTATCAATTCATCGGAAAATAACTTTGTGCTCATCTTTCGGCGCGAAAATTAGAAAAAATAACTTCCAAAAAAGCCACTAACCTGGCAAAAAATTGATTTGATGACTAAACCAATATAAACTTGTATTTCCAGCCGACACCACCACCTTCTCCCCCACCAGCCCTCGCAACGCTCAACGCCAACTCACCAACGCCAACGGCCAACCGGTCTACCGTTGCGTTCGTTGCAGCGACCGGCTTGAAGACACCCACTTCGTTCAATGTCCCTCCGTTTGCGGGCATAAATTCTGCTTCGAGTGCTCGAAAAAATCGATCAAGACACAGGTGGGAGCGCCGGAGATCTACTGTCCCAGCGGCGAACGATGCCCATTGCAGGCGAGCAAAGTGCCGTGGACATTTATGGCCAACGAAATCAGCACCATTCTGGGAGAGGACTACGTGAAATTCGCGGTGGAACGAGAGCAATTGGGACTGTTGCCCGCGGGGCTTGGCCCATTAAATCAGGCGAACCGACAGGCTGGAAATGCCCCTAGCACGTCTGGAGTGGGTACCGGCGCATCAAAGGAGGGAACCACCGAAACTTCGAGGTCTTCCAGTGTGTCGGCGTTGAGTTCGCCGAGCTCCAACTCTAGCCCAAATGTCGGACAGGGCCAAAAGGAGTAGATTTTAGACCATTTGAGACATTTTCAAGGTATCCGTTTGAGCTATAGGAACTTATACGACTTTTTACGGTATTTCCATTCAAGAAATGTCGTTTTGCCACTTTTTAGCACAAAAATTGAAAAATTTGTTATGTATGCCAGGTTCACACCTGCCCTCTATGGACTCTGACCATCTCCTCCGCGAGTTGCGGCCAATTGTAATGTTCGTTCTGGTCTTAAAAACTACAGTAGGGCGCATATTTTGGAAATTTCCCGCTTTCCCAGCCAAAAATGTACAATCTTCACCTTTCACTTTGTATTTTTGCACCTACAATTTTACTTATTTCGTCTTAAACTTTTGCCTTCTTCTTCGCATTTACCGTAGAGCCCAATATCTTTTGTCAATTGCAATGTTTTGTAAATTTTTAATAACTAATATTGTGAAAAGTTAACGAACCTGATCTCTAACCAACGTTTATTTGAATTGTGATCCAAGAAAGAACTATTTTCGAGAATAAAGTTTAATGTGCAAACAAACCGTTGAACGGAGGGTATACTATGTTTTTGATGACTAAAAAAGATGTGAATTTATTAAACGCTAGCATGGGTTTGTCGGGAAAATAATGGACAAAATGTCGCTGCTCTAATCGCGTCGCTGAAGTGAAAAGAAATTGAATTTCATCTTCTCGACGGCCATGCGATTTTCCATTTGACAGAGCGCTCATTATTTTCCCGACAGTCTCATATTTACGAAAAAAAGTTTTCTGCGACTCTTCACTGTGCATTATGCTCGATAATTCGTGTCGGATGACATAACAAAACATGTGAATTTAAATGCTAATATCAGCCTGTCGGCAAAATAATGAGCAAAATGCCTCTGCGCCGATCGCATCGCCGAGTTGAAAGCAATTTGATTTTGTCGCGGCACAATTCATTTTCTCGACGGCCATGCGATTTTCGATGCGACGTTGCGCTCATTATTTTCCCGACAGACTGATTGTAGGCCTATTGAGTAATATCTCAAGTGTCTCTGAAGACCGTGGGTTCAAGTTTTAAGGAACCGATGTATCAGCTTGTCGATAAAATCATGTGGATTTTAGCTCGTACAATGTGGCGGACTGAGCAGAGTTCGGAGCCACGGGAAGTTCCCAGATTCTTTTTGCCGGGGTTGTATACTACTTGTAGACTACAACTCGGGCGTGATGGCGGGCTTAAACCGACAATCGTAAAAATTGTAGCCTTGACTATGCCATGGTAGGCCGCATTATAGTACAATGCAGAAATGAAGACGTGCGCTTTGCTGAGGCGCCTATTACCGAAGAGAGGGCATTTGTTATTTCACACGAAACACGGCGACTTTGATGTGTTGAAATAACGTTAGCCGCACTTTTACCGCTCCAAATTTATCCCCAGCGGACTTGAAGATATGGCATCCAAGGGCGTCGCATTCGCCAAGCCGAGCTTGTTGTTTGATGTGCGGGCCACAACAACAACCGAATGCTATGATTACGAAAGCCGTCCAATTTACTGGGAGTTTTTATTTTGCCGCAGAAAGCTCAGACTTGGCGGTACCAGTCGGGCCAAAAGATAATAAAAGGTTTTACATGGTAGTCGCCCCAAAAGTCCGTAGATTTTTTTCAGTGACATCGCGGGATGCGCTCGTCGAAAAGTGCATGTCGCTAGTGCAAAAAAGGGAAGTCGCAGCGGTGCAAAAATATTATACTAGTCCGAATTTTACGGACTAGTATTTTCGCATTGTACGGTGGGCGTAGAAAAGCGGTTTTGCGCGAGAAACACTCAGCATAGTAAGAACGAAAAAATACTGTGCAGTTTTTACGCCTTTTCAGGAAATTTCATTTCGCACTACATGATCGGCGTGCATTTCATTTGTCGCCGGCACACTTTTGATACCGCCGATTTTTTCCTCGAGAAATATGACACATTTATTGATGAAACTTGTTAATGCTAGTTGCTCCGTAAAGTGCGTAGACTCTTCGCCGCAAATTTTCGCTCTGCGAATTTGCGCCGTGCAATTTAAATCGCCGTTTACACACCCCTTGACCACTCGGCCACTGCTTCACACTTTTTATTCCTTCTTTTCCGGGATCCCTATCTGTTGCTGCGTTTTTTTTGTACAAACTTTGACGCCGATTTTCTTGGCTTTGAAGCCCCGCGCAGAGATTTCCCCCCAAATGAATAATTGACCTCTACACACCTTTCGATCTAACTAAAAAATGAATCTAAAGTTGTGCCACTTTGAGTACATGCGTGGCAATTGTAAAAATGTTTAGTTTTAATTTTAAAACATTATAATTAACCTTTTTTCTTTATGAACCTTCAAACTATATATATCCGCGGAATTTACTATGCGCACAGGTGCAGCTGAGCGTTTACTTATTGTTAGGAAGTTTTGCAGTCTTACCACAATTGTACGAATGGAGCACCGACGACTCATCCACTACGTCCTGGATACTGTGGTCGGCGTCGCAGGCGCCGCGTTGAGCTCTTTGGTGATTTATCTGAGCGTTACGCACGTTAGGAACCGAGCGCTGCGTGCCTACAGCATCATGCTGGTTTCGAATGCGGTGGTGGATCTGGTGTATTCGTTGAATACGATATGTACCTTTGCGGTGAGTCCTTTTATAATGCGCATTGTACGCGATGGATCGAAATGTGTTCAGCAGATGACCCGTACTTGCGGGCAACCACTTCGGGGCAGCAAACAGAAGCAAGGCACGTCAAACTGAGATAAGCTAAAACAGTCCGGTGAATGGATTGGCAATTTGCCAAAAAAAGACGCCAAAAAATGTTTTGTCGGGGGAGAAATGCGGAATTTTTGGGGCGAGAGAGTGCGCTTTTGCGTGTCTTTTTTTCTCTCTTTCTCTGGAAATCAAGACGAAATGTAAAAAACCGATAGCGAAGAGTCTATTCCGGTCACCGGACTCCTCAGTTTGACGTGCAAGGTTCTGTAGATTGCATTTCTCTCGATCGCTTTATAAATCCTTTCTGCTATGTGCCATATCAGAAGGATCTTGTGTACTTGTTGGATTTTTAATGAGAAATGGGTTGTTTAGACCGTCAAAAAATAAAATCTTGAAAAAATTCTTGAGGACACCGCAAATGTTTTGTTTTCAAGACCACAGAAGTTGTAAGTCGGCCTTAAAGGACGAAGACGACATGGAAAACATACTATTTGGCTTTCCTGAGCTCTCTGTAAATAGCTATCAGCCTTTCGGTAAAGTAATGAGCACCCTGTTGCCTCGGGGCGTGCATCGCCGCCAAAAAAATGAATTGTGTCGCTGCAAAATTAAGTTACTTTCGACACGATCCGTCAGCAACAAGGGGCTCATTATTTTGCCGACAGACCGATATTACGGTTTGAATTCCCATCTTTTTTCAGTCATCCGCCTTCGGGATCCAAGCGGTTTTCATGACAGTGGACAACCCGTTCTGGCCGAAAACCGTCTTCTGGACTTATGCCGCCATCTCCACCAACCTGTTCCTGATGTTTCTGAGCGTCGCAATGCTGCCATTGCAGTTCGTCTACCGCTACGGCGTGATGAGAGCCAAGCCGTTCAGTAAGAAGCAAATGTGTGGTTTCTTTCTGATTTCGCTCTATTTTGCGACAATTCACGGGTTCGTTTCGCCGTTTACGTTCAAGCCACCTGGTCCCGAATGGGAAGCCTCTTTCCGGCAGGCACTCGACGTGAATCAGGACTATGTGCTGCCAGGATATATTGTGGGAGATGTGGTAAGGGTTTGAACGCTATTGCTAGTCTGTCGGGAAAATAATAAGCGCAGTGTCGCTGCGCCGATTGTGTCGCTGGAAAGTAATTTGATGCGATTTTCAATACGACAGAAGGCTCATTATTTTCCCGACAGATCAGTATGCCACATATATTGACTTTCCTTCAGAGGCAGTTCGATCGAATGGCTATTCACTTCATTCATATCTTCGTCATTGTTGGCGGTTCATACGCGACAATCTTAGTCATGGTCTGGAAGTCTCGTGGGACGGTCGCGTTCCGAGATCATGATCATTTGTCGATGGCAACGCGAGCGGTTCAGCGACAAGTCACTCGAATTATTTATGCGCAGGTAAGAGACTGCCGACTTTGTTTATTAGTCTGTCGGGAAAATAACGACGCACGGCAACCCAGAGAGTCTGCCTTCTCATTTCTCCTCGTCAAAAAAAGAGAACTGTCGCGCACCAAAATCCAGCTTCGGAAGCCGTCGCAAAGCACGGCAAACCGAAATAGAACAAAAATATCTCACGCCCACTTTTGAGTTTCGCCAAACGAAGTGTCACAACTAACAAAAGCAATAAAATAATTTCGAGAAAAATATTTTTCCATCGAAAAACCACACGAAAAATTCTGTTGTGACATTTCGTGCGAATTTGAGCGATACTGGGTGTGCGAAGTGCCGAAACGAGGAGGGAGACTCCCTGGGTTGCCGTGCAAAGCGATGATGTGCGATTCTAATGCGGATCTGTCACTTTTTTCCCGACAGACTACATTGTGCTTGGCGGGTCAAAAAATCTTGCCCGTCGGGAAAATAATGGGTTCAGTGCCGCTACGTCAATCGCGTCGCTGAAGTTAAAAATAATTTGATTTTGAAGCGACACAGTTAATTCTCATTCCGATTTTTGATGCGACAGTCTGCTCATTATTTTTACGACACACTGATATCCAAATCCTGCCTCGCCTTTCAAATAACATCGATTTTCAGTCCATTTACCCGCTGTTCATAATGTGCGCTCCATGCCTTTGTTTTACCATATTCTCCGCTCAAGGGATTCAGGTTCGAATGTTGGGCGAATATGCAATGCTGTCCATGCACACGCCTCCGCTTTTCAATTCCATGATTGTGATTTTGTGCGTGCCAAGCTATCGACGGTTCTTTTCGCGGCCGGCCGGTGCGGACCGGGTTCAACACCTGTAAGCGTTCAAACCAACCGTGTGAAACATATTTTTAGTATTATAATACTAAAAATATCTTTCACATGCTCCTTTGTTCAATTAAACAAGACGGTTAGGTGGAAAGTTCCATTAATCATTCATTTGTAGGAATAAGAAGTTGCTCAAAGCCTACTATGGGACCAAAGTCACAATCAGTCATATCAGCCGGCCCTCACTGCATACGGTTCATTGCCAAATCTAAGCTTGGCGTTGGGCCGGGACAAGGAAAATTTGGAAACGGGCCGGTCTCTCCGCGCTCTTGGATGGCCGCGATGCTTGGCCAGACAAACCGCGAGCTATTCTTGCCCGTGACAGGCCTACACTTCCACAACCTCGCAAATCGCTCTTTCACGACTTCAACAAGTTTCAAAAAACCAGGTGTCTGATGATTATATTTTTTCAACAAATTTCATAAAAATAATTGAACAACCCTTGTTGGAGCAAGCAGAAATGAGTCAACTGCAGCTGTAAAAATGTGAAGGAATATGTCAGCTCCCAAATCGGAGGAAAAACATTTTACGGCAGCGTGAAATTTTGTACTGAAGGGGTCAGATTGCGGAATGGAAGGCGATCGACTAACAGGTGAGGTACTCAAAATGCGACGCTCAGATTTTGATGAAACTTGCTGCAAATTAAAAAAAAATCAACGCCAATTGTGAGATTCCTAGCTCACGCTTTGCAGAAATTACGGCCAAAAGTTTTTTTCTCTCTGACCGTTCTCCGGGTTTTGCATACACTCTCACCAACAAGGATCGTTGGATATCTCGGCTGGGCCTGCAAAGCGTGAGCTAAAACTTTCAGAAATTGATACTTAGTCTGTGACCGACGTGTGTGAAAAATTTAAAGAAAGCGTCGCATTTTGGATTAGTTTGACACGGGATTGCATTGCAAGGCGCAAAAAAAGAATTTTTCATGGAACACCGCAAATTCGATTTGTTAGGTTCCTAAAAAATCGATCCTTTCTCTTTTCTACATTTGGCTTCAACCCAACGACGAAGACCTTTCATCAGCCAGCAGAAATGTTGCCTGTTGATGAAAACACGAAAAACAAAAGCGACATTTTAGACGTTCCTTTTAGCCAATAGTTTGCAAAACATCCATGAACCGGCAATTCGAAAACAACCTTTTCCTGTGAACACATTGGAGACGGTAACCAAAACTGTATAATTCATCTGCCAAAAACTTCCGCTTCTCACCAGGACTAGCAGGGAGCCCACATTTATGTATTGCAAAACTTAAATTACACGGGTCCACGAATGAAATGTTTTCTAGCGTTAAATTAATTATAGATTAACAAAAGTAGTCATGTAAATTGATACTGCTTTGTAGTGGGTTGTTATTGAACAAGAGACAAGACTGCTTAGCAAATTTCAAGAGCTAGTCGAGAAGTGTGGAGCTTTAAAAATTCCTTGCGATTAAAAAGGTTTTATTAACGAAACGGTTTCAAAAAGGTCTTTTTGTTGTTTTCAGGTCTTTGGTTTAATAACCGAGTGTCCGTCTATTCTACAGTAATGAAAGTAAAGTAGCACTGTATAGCTAGTTCATTGAGTTTTCTCTGCATGAGTTTGAACCTCTTCGTTATCGCCACGCACGTCAAACTGAGGAGTCCGGTGACCGGAATAGACTCTTCGCTAACGGTTTTTTACACTTCGTCCTGATTTCGCAGAGAAAGAGAGAAAAAACACACGCAAAAACATACTCTCTCGCCCCAAAAATTCCCCATTTCTTCCCCGACAAAACGTTTTTTCGCGTCTTTTTTGGCAAATTGCGAATCCATTCACCGGATTGTTTTAGCTCATCCCAGTTTGACGTGCGTCGTCCGCAAAAGGTTTGCGGACTTTATGGCGCGACTCGTACGGACCTTCGGGGCGTAGGGAGAGGGCAAGGTTCATAAGAAGACCCCCCACCCTGAATTTTTGGTCAGCTAAGCATTGAGCCTTTTATGAAAATACTGGTAGACTGAAAGATCAGAAATAATTTGCGTGGGGGAGTTCGGTGGCTCCGCGTCACAGCACGCCCCCGGGAAAAACATTTGACTACGTCAAAAAAATTTTTCCAACTCTTAAAAACAAACATTTTTTGTGCCAAAACAAAGAGAGTGCATACTGTTTTTCGCTTGTATCTGCGATATTGAGACTTTCTCAAGCACCGAAAAGAAATTGCACATTGCAAAATGTTTCGAAAAAGTCACTACGCGGCACGAAAAAGAGCAAAAAGCTCTACGCACTTTAGAAGAAGCGTAATGAAACTTGCGAATTGGCGGAAGCAACATTATTATATGAATGTATGTAATTTTTTTGATTTGACATGCACGCACTTTATTGGTGTATACAGCCCTACATGCATGTTGCATGCATGCATAGCTTTTAGGAATGTCTGGCTTTATTGTCACGGAAAACCAACAGCACTATTTTTTGAAGATTAAGATTACCGTAACTCTTAGCTTGTATACACTAGTCAGTTTTTAAAGTTGCTGGAGTGATTTTTGGCGTTGGCGCTGTGCAGAAAGTCGGGGTGTAAGCGACGGCCCGAAAAGGCGGCCCATCGCAAGAAACTTCATAGTGAAAAGTGAGCTTTTGTGTTCGCGCAGTGCATGTCGCAAAGATCACCCCATTGCGAACGGACTAGTACAGTGATGGACCGGATCCAATGGCAAAAAACGTCTCATTTTGCATCCCGGAAGGGACCAAAATGTCTCCAAACCCTTCCCTTCTCTAAGCTAAAAAACCCCGATTTGAAGAGCCCGCCTTGAAGGAAAGGGCGCGCTTTTCAAAGCGGAGTTTTTTAGCTTACAAAGGGAATGGTTTGGAGTCATTTTGGTCCCTTCCGGGATGCAAAAGGAGACGTTTTTTGCCATTGGGTCGGGTCCCTCACTGTAGTCACCACGTGCGTCTCCACACGTCATCTCGTTCTCCCAGGACTTTGCACTTCCTAAAAACAGAATGCGCTCTTTTGTATGGAGGAGTGCGAGTCTCGGGCGACTTCAACCATGACAATTCCCTCAAGACCACTTTTACTGTTTTTCTAATTTCTAATGCATTAGATGGCCAGCGGCCAAGTGCATTGGTATTTCCGCGTCCAATTGGCGGAGCATGCAAAAATACGAACTGTGGTCCACCGAAAATCGTGCCGTACAGTTTTTCGCCTCCTTTTTTATTTATATAGTTTGTGTGTGGACTTGAGAGCAGTGGAAATGCAGGATTATAACCGAGCAAGGTCAACGGAGGAGGAGCTCGCTTAACGGAGGAGGATCAAGATTTTTTCTCCGAGTATGTAATCAGCGCCATGGCTAGAAGGAGGGGGGATGGGGGTATAATTTCAAGGCCGTCGTTGAACTCCAGGGACTTTGCGAACAGGCTAATGTCAAGTGAACTGTTTTCCGTATTATTACATATGTACTTGTCTAGTCTTGGACCTAAGATTACTGCATTCTTGCGTTTAAAGGCCAGTAGTACAACTATCTTTTTAGCGGTTTGGGAAACGAAATTTTGGAAAATATTTTTTTTTGAAAAGCTGAAAAAATTTCAAATATCGGCTAGTAGGGAAAATAGGTAGCACAAAATCGCTGCGACGATCGCGGCGCTGAAGTGGAAAGCAATTTGATTTTGCCGCGACACAATTCATTTTCTCGGCGACGATGCGATTTTCGATGCGACGAAGTGTTTATTATTTTCCCGACAGACTAATAGTAAGGCAATAACTAGCACTAAGGTTATTAATTTGGCAATATTTTTTCAAAATGACGTCAACGTGGCATCATTTTCGTTATTTTGGTTAAATTGAAACTTCTGACATACGAAGAAATCTTAAATTCTAACGGTGTCTTAAATAGTAAAAATCTACAAAAATTTTCCGACGAGAGACTAATGAAATCAAAATGACAGGACAATTTGGCATGACGAAAATAACGTCAATTTATTTTCACTGACGCGTCGGGTTGACGGTCTGACAAGAGTGCACTTGTCAAAATGTTAGTACAACTTTCTCTCAGCATACGATAGGCAAGTATGTGGGTATGTCATTTTGTCCAGCAGTGTATGTCAATTTTTGGAGGGTTTTTTCCGTGTTCTCTATTGTTTACAGTTTTTTGGGGTGTATCACACGAATGAGCAGTTGTGACCTTTGTGCACGAAGACTCGTGTAGTTGTAGTTTAAACTTTCTTTTCAATTTACTGTATTTCTATTGTTAAATGTAAAAATGTGGCTGCTGTTGCCTGTTGTGTGCATCATATGGACAAAAACTTTGTATGCGCATACAAAAGTTCATTTCCATACATTCTTAACTTTTGAATTTTGCATACAGGGTGGGCCACTCGAGGCTTCTTTTTCTTTTTTGAATTTCTCCTCGGAAACTCTGCCGATTTAAAAAAATAAAATACAAAGCTTATATTATATATCAGTCTGTCAAAAAATGGTTTTCCTCGAAAGAGACCCCGAATTGAAAGAGACCCCGAGTTGAAAGAGACCCCAGAATCGGGGGTCTCTTTCGATGTTCCCCGAAATGGCCGAAAAGGTCAAAAATAGGGTAATCGATGGCGTAGATTCCAAAAATCATATTCGTTTTTCCCGATTTTTACTTTTTTGCTTAAGTAGTAATGTTAAAAAGTAATTTTTTGATTTTTTCCTAAAAATAGTCGATTTAGGGGTTATCGAGGGTGCTGATTTCGAACTTAAGGAAAAAAGTGACTATCAAAAAAATGAATGTTATTTTCGAAATCAGCACCTTCGATAACCCCTAAATCGACTATTTTTAGAAAAAATTCAAAAAATTATTTACTTTTTAACATTACTTCATAAGCAAAAAAGTAAGAATCAGAAAAAACGAATATGATTTTTGGAATCTACGCCATCGATTACCCTTCCGGGTCTCTTTCGATGGTTTTCCAAAAAAAAAATAATGGGCGCTTTGTTGCATAAAAAATGGCATCACGAAAAAATCCAAAAAATTTCACCACTGGGTCGCTTAGCATGTTGGGTCGTAATCGAACGATCCTGCAGAAAGTCCTTGGAATTTTCTGCGACTCTGCACTGTTCAATTGTTCGACAATTCGACGAACCATTCCGCACCGTCCATCCGGCCCAAAAAGGATGAAAACACCACTTGCATAGTGCAACTTTTTGCACTATATTGTAGGAGAGATAAATCGTTACAAAGAGAAAGATATTAGAAGCTATTTATGTCTTTGAAGAAGTGTGTTTCATTCTATCTGAGAACCTATTTTTACAAACTTTCATTTTTGGGGTCAGCTAATTATCAGCTGACTGGCGCGCAGCCCTGTTGTCATTTTGAGCAAAAATCGGGACCGATATGCGGCGGCAAAAAAAGCTCGGAATGCTGTTCTAGTATTTTGAGTGGACCTTTCCTAGGCATGGCTCCGGGCCGGGCTTTGCAAAATTTTCCGGCCCGGGCCGGGCCGACTAATTTCTCGGCCCGGCTCCGGGCTTCGATTTTTAGGGCATTTTTAGGGATTTTTTTCATTGCAGCCATGCTAAACCTTTCCATGCCTCCGCAATGTTTTGAAAAATAATTTTTGTGCACCTTTTTGAGAAAAGGCGTTTTTCTTGGCTGTCTGTTTTTACAAGTTTCTATCTTCAGATGGAGCAAAGTTGTAAAGGAATGCAATTTAAATTTTTTTAAAATCCATTTCGTGCAATGATGCGGAATGCACAGTAATACGGTTTAAACAGTGGGTGACTAAACCCGTGCCTTTTTTTACAAGAAGTGTGTGTATTACGGTTTGTTTGCACTTTACGGAAAAATGTGTAAAAAGGTCATTGCAGTCCTCATGTGCATGCTAGTTTAATCGGGGACTTACAATTAGCCTATCACGCTCTAGGTATTTAGAATACTCGCGCCTCTGACGCGAATGTCCTTGCGGTTAGGTTAGGCTGGTCAACGTTTTGTTGAATGAAATATTTTTGCTGGTTTAACAATGCTGGACCTTTGAGTATTTTGATGTACAGTAGTTGAGGTCGGTGACTGTAAGTATGCTGTTGTGAGTGCGGAAATTAGTCTTTAGGCGACGCGTTTTATGCGGTTGAAGCTTTCTTTTTTTGCAAACCAGGCTTGGCGCTAACGATGGGTAGTAGCAAACGTTGATATTATGGTTGGTCATTGGGAAGGTACCGACTAGATGTCTTCTAGTACTACTCGTGCCCAAAAGTTCGTACAATTCCTGCGGTAGAGGCTCTTTTTGTTCGGCCTTGGCGCTGGGGATCAGTAAGCAAAGACTGGTGCTAATTTCGCCAATTGGGAAAATAGCGCTTCACCTAACGCATTCCGGGGCCCTCTAATACCACATATATGAATAGGACAAAATCCTTGGTAGAACTCCAAGTCCCAAACAGAGTACCAGCAGATATAGTTTAATGACGGCCGCAAGTAGTATGGTTAAGATAGCTGTAGGCCAGATATGCTAAGTGCGCCAAACGCTGGATCGCTTCTACTCCCCCATTACACTCTTCTGTCCTTTTTTTTCATCGACTGTTCACGCTGTTCCTATACAGCGTCGGGCCTAATGCAGTGGCAAAAACGCTTCCAATGCACATGAACCTGGCCAGGGAACGGTTGGAACTTCCCCCAACGTTCGGGAAAAGCACTAATGCTAAATAGAATCGAGCATGTCGACTTTGGGAAAAAAGACATTTTCCAGTTACAGAACGCTGGTGGAATTTCAGACCGGTCATTCGCGAGATAAGGCAAAACGGTTCGGTTAATGGCAATTCGCCAAAAATTAAATCCGTTCCAACACTGTACGTCTCTGTTGCGGAATGCAAACGGGTTGTCTGTTCGGCGGGACTAATCGTTGCTTCGGCATGAATTGCGACATTTTGTTTGGACAAAACTTTAAAGTGGGCGGAGAGACATTCTTTTGGTTTAATATTGCCGTGCCGGGTTTTCTACTTTTAGCCCAGTACAAAAAAACTAGTCTGGTTGGCAAGATGTCTCTATAAAACAGACTGCGGTTTGAACAGTCACTTATTTGTCCAATTGCTCATGTTGAACAAACACGTGCAGTAAATGGAGTTTCTAGTCACACTACTTAGACCATGGATCTTTTTGGCCTTTTAAAAAGCTCTAGCGCTTTCAGCTGCAAAGTTTTAGTCATCGCTGAAGTGTAAATTACTAATCATCTGTTTATGTTTTAGTTGGTTTTGTCATTACCAAGTCCTTTCCTGTAAATATTTAATCAATCATGAGCAACCACCTTGTTGAAAGAAACCTTGACGTTAAGTTTTGCAAGTTGATTATTTGAAATTCTTATCGTTAGATCGAAAAATTGGCTGTTTGTTTTGTCAAAAGAGATGACTCAGATTCACAAATCCTATGATAGGCAATACTGGAGGATATATTGGCAAAGTTGCGGGAGTGATGGGTTTATGTATTTAACAGCAACCGTAGACGGCTTAATGCCCTGTAATGTCTATAAAATTACAGGGCATTAAGCCAATTTAATCTTGATAGTCATGGCAATACTGTGGAGGTTTTCCATCTTTACGATTATCTTAAAATTAGGGATATTACTTGTTGCCGGACCTCCGGGATATCGCCTATTAGCATAGCATAGTTATGGGAAAAACATTAAGTGTAGCTTTTTTTATGTTTTTTTAAGTATGTATCATATATTCGCAGAAACTGAAGCTCGTAAACGGTGTTCCTTTGATACTTACATAGTATTAGAAATTAATCTAAAGCATTTACAAAGAAATTTGCGAAACATTTGGATTAAATTAGGAATGACTCATTGTTTCGTAACATAAATGAAGTTTATGTACTGCCAAGAAATAAAAAAAAACAGAAATGTAGAACTTGTTCCAGCACACTTGTCACTGCCTAATGAGCGGCATTTGGAAATTATTTCAAACATTACGATCTTTTCGAGAATCACCTGCATTTCATTTGTTTCTCATCATTCGTACATATACTTAATATCCAGCATTTTGACGAGCCCACAAATGTACCTTGCCAGGAGTACCGCTCATCATTTGATTGACTCGTTTATTGGGATTGGCGGAATAATCGCCTGCTCCCTCGTCATCTATCTATCCTCGACGAAGGTGAAGAACAAAGCGTTAAGAGTGTACACAATCATGTTGATTTCTAATGCTACTGTCGACCTAATATATTCGATCAACACGCTGTGCACGATGTGTGTAAGTTGCTTGGTTTATACAATCTTAAACATACATATATGGCTCCGGACTGTCAAATGTTTGTGTGTCCAGAAAATGTGTCACGATGACACTGATTTAAAATGTGCCAGTGGTGTAAAAAATAGTTGCATATGGCTAGATGTACGCTCTAGATAACCCACAAAAAATTTAGGTCCAAAACTTGTGCGCAACTTGGACGACGTATTTTCTGCATTTTATTCAATCTTCCCGCTGTAATGTCAAAAATTTTTGACGTGCTGTAAAAAGTACTTCTGTATATGCTAATTTTTGTAACGCTGGCACATTTTAAACAGGTGTCGTGACATATTTCCTACTCGCAAGATTTACATATTTTTTTGCCACGGACCATAAAGTAGCCTTGTTGCACATCGTTGCCTTTTCCTTTTCAGAGCGGAGTTTTGGGTATTCAAACCGTTTTCATGACCATCGACAGCCCTTTCTGGCCCAAGACTGTGTGGTGGTCCTACGCCGCCGTCTCCACAAACCTTTTCCTGATGTTTCTGAGCGTCGGCATTCTACCGCTGCAGTTCATCTATCGCTACGGCACGATGCGGAATCAGCCGTTTTCGAGAAAACAAATGCTGCTTTTCTCACTGGTGCCGTTGGCCTTCGCCCTGCTGCACGGGTTCATCTCGCCGTGGACATTCCGGCCGCCAAATCCGGAATACGAAGTGATGTTCAGAGAGGCGCTGGAGGTTGACGAAAATTACGAACTGCCCGGATATCTGATCGGAGATGTGGTAAGGATTCTAGCGTGTGGTTATATGTTTGCTAAAGGCGCATAAGAAGGTTTGGGTTTTCAGCGTAACTTCGACCTTATGACTCTGCATTTCCTGAACATTTTCGTGATTGTCGCCTTTTCCTACGCAACCATACTGTTCATGGCGTATCTGTCCAAGAGAACGATGACTTTGCAGAGCGGTCTGTCCACCAGTCCGCAGACAAAGGCCGTGCAACGCCAAGTCACCAGGATCATTTACATTCAGGTGAGCTTTTCGAAAAGAGCAATTTTTACTGCGGGTAATAAATTCCCTCGAAGTTGGAAATGGCATATTACACACGCGTATTCTTCAGGCAATCTACCCGTTATTCGTCGTCTGCGTACCCGCAATTTCGTTTTCAATCGCTGCCGCTCGAGGAATCCAGTTGAAAATGATCGGTGAGCTGGTCATGTTCTCGATGCATACCCCACCCTTGGTGAACAGCCTTATAGTCATTCTGTGTGTGCCGAGTTATCGCCGATTCGTCGTAAACCCCTTCAAAAGCGATCAGATTCATTCACTGTAAGTTGCATAGCGTGTTGGCCAAAACGTGTTGTGTTGTGAACTTTTGTGTGGGTTGTTTCTCTGATCTATCGCTCCACATATCAGTCTGTCGGGAAAATAGGAAAATAATGACACTGTCGCATCGGAAATCGCATTGCTGCAGAGAAAATGATTTTTTCCAGAGAAATGTTGTTTTTTCGCTCCAACGATTTTTGTTCATCATTTTCCCGACATACTGATGTGTTATTAAAACACTCACATTTTCTGATTTATAACTAACAAATCGTGTTTAGCGATTCCCGGCCAGAAGACAAAAATGCCAGTTTTAGAGGGCGACTCAGTGTCCGCAGTAATGGACGCCTCACCACGTCTTCAGCTAGCGGAAGCGCGAGGCAATGAAGCGCTGAGGATGAAAGAAGTCAATAATCCTAAAAGAGAAAAAGAATGCTATAAACCATAAGTTACAAATGTAACCATAACCTATAGATTTATCTTAATAAAGATATAATATAAAATTCCGGCAGAGTTTTCTTTTTTTATTTGGTTGCTGAAATAATGGAGATGATAGATCTTACGGTTGAAGCCGCTGAGTTCGAAGGTAGACTGAATATGAACTGACTGAATACGAACTGGTGTGCTGGCTGAATATGAAAGTTTAGTTTCATGTTGTGTCAGTCTGTCTGGAAAATAATTATACAATTTCTGCGTCTATCATGTCGCTGAAAATAGCAATGATGCGTCGCATAAAAATGTTCGTGTCGCCGAAGTCGTTCACCAATTCCACAGCGGTAGCCAGCCGTGGCAAAGCAATGTTGGGCGATCCGACGAATCCACATTTCTTTCTAACAGACTGATAATGAATATTCGGTGCGCCACTTCACCAATTTCTCGAAAAAGACAGATGCGACGAGTCCAAGGCGCGGCAAACCCACATTATTTTTCCGATAGGTTTATATTATATTTTGTTGTTGTACGGTAGCTTTTGCAACAAAGTTTTGACAGAGCAATCCATCTAACATTTCTGCCGGCCTATTGTCAAAGAAGATATAGTCACATATATACGTACACAAACACAATAAAATGTTTCCGATTTCCATTCTTTTGTCTATGTGTGGTCTTGTGCAGACTAAACATTCTAAGCAAAAGATAAGCGAGTCACAAGAACCTCGTTGACACATTACATCGCTTGTGCATCACCACACGACTACAAACCGTAAGCTGAACTTAAGGCTCCAAAAAAACTGCAAAGCAATTCAGGTTTCATTCATAATTCTGATTCGTGGTTTGTTGGACTAATGAAAAGCGCGGCGTTTGAATACCCTTAAGCACTCGCTCGCTCAGCACGAAATGTCAGCATTTAGACTCATGAGGAAATCCGCCGTTACATTGCCGCAAAATTTAGAATATGAAATTGTTATATGTTGAGGGAAAAAAGAGAGCTTCAGATTTTTTTATTTATTAAAGTTTGACTTTACTTTCAATTAGCAACTGACGCCGTTTGCCGGTTTGCACTTTTTTTGACCGCATGACGCTGATGAGCAATTGTACATTTCTGCTACTCTCTGCAGTTGTAGTTTACAAGTTCTTTTCTATAGCTACATTCGGCACTAATGTATTCTTATTGTTTGGTGTAAAAATAAGGGGGTGATATGTGTCAGCCGTGTGAATAACCAGAATTTAAAGCTTCTCATTAAGGACAAGGGTCAATTTCCAAGTACTTTTCACTAGCAGATTTTACATCCTATTTTTAATTTTCTCAAAATTTGCGATCAATCTTTGGTGAGTTTTTATATGGTGTCTTTGCCACAGGGGTGTTTTTTGGTACGATAATGGAGGCATTTTCCGTAATTTCGGTTGCTTCCTGGAAGCAAGACGGCACGTTATTTCCAGTGAAAAACGTCAGCCATACCATCGAATATAATAAGATTCATCCCTTTGAATCCCTCTCATAATAAGGAAGTGTTTCTTTTGCCTACCCCTCTTGCTAAAAATGCCACTTTACAAACGGACTATTACTGTATTCACGCCACAATACGCCGTAAAAAAACCCTTTCGGTTTTCAAAGCGCTGTAAAAAGGCCCCGCCGTCCTCGCAAAAGTCACAAACAGTCAACTCACGCTTCGGTATTTCGACTGCTCGCGGGTCCGACAATGAGTGTGCTTCCAGTAACTGCGAGTTTTGCTAAGGCAAATGTTTTACCCGTTGTAAAAAATGCCATGAAGCACTTTAGTGTATTATGTCGTGTAGTTGGGGTCGGTGACTGTAATAATAGCGAGCATAGAGTGTTTATGGCAACGCGTTTTCTACGGTAGAAGTTCTTTTTTTGGCAGGGCTTAGCGCTGATAATAGGTCGGGATAAATGGGACGGCAGCCCCTCCTCAAACCGATCTCGGCTCTTCTAGTACCACATGTATAACTTGGAAACCTCCTTGATAGAATTCAAAATCCTAAATCCAAGAGTAACAAGAATATAATAGCTTATTGATGGACACCACACGTCAAACTGTGGAGTCCGGTGGCCGGAATAGACTCTTCGCTATCGGTTTTTTGCACTTTGTCTTGACTTCAGAGAGAAGTTAGACCGCTTTGGCTGATCTCAGTTTGACGTGACCAGTATAATACAAGCAAGAGGCGTTGATTCTTGTAAATCCGTCTACTCTCATGCTGTCGAAAAATAATGTGGATTGTGGATTGGTCGGGCGTTAAACTTGATTCTGCGACGGCTTCCCCCCGGCTGAGAATTTGCTCCGCGACTACCACGAGGCAAAAGAGGAGGACAAATCAACATTATTTTCCTTTAAGACTGCTATCTTTCTTTGAAAACCGTATTCATGGATATTGGCCTGATCGTTTGCGGTATTATTCGTACCACTTGTTTTTACTCCGATTTTAAAAGGCACATATTACATATACTATAATAATTCTTCTCTACTAAATCAAGACCAATACGAAGACTATGAATATAACCCTTTCTTACATGTACGCCTTTGGTGAACATTAACATCCAATCGCCCTTTTAGGTCATGCAAATCAACCGAACAACCATCCACTCGTTCTTTGACACAGTTCTCTCGATATTGGGGATCATTGCGTGCAGTCTGGTGATCTATCTGTCACTCACAAACTACAAGAATAAAGCCTTGAAAGTCTACAGCATTATGTTGGTGACAAATGCCACGGTTGACCTGTTATACGCCATCAACACATTGTGCACGTTTTGCGTAAGTTTTTGCGGAGTTTAGCAGAGGTGATTAACCAGTTATTTTCGACGTGTGAGTCTAAAATCAGTCTGTCGGGAAAATAATGAGCACAATTCTGCTGAGTCTGACAATGAGTGAAATTACACTCGAAATAAAAAAATTGACAATTCGCTGACAACTACTGTATATAAACCTTAGCTGAAGACCGGCGACTGACTTATTTTGAGCCAGCTGAAAAAACAACCGGGCGCCGAAAACAGCTCTTATTTTCAGACCGCCGCATTTGGCTACAAAGCCGTGTTTATGCTCATCGACAACCCGTATTGGCCAAAGACGGTGTGGTGGACTTATGCCGGCCTCTGCACGAACCTCTTTCTCATGTTTCTGAGCGTTGGAATGCTGCCGCTGCAGTTTATCTATCGTTACGGAGTGATGCGGACGAAGCCGTTCACGAAGAAGCAAATGTTCGTTTTCTTTTGTGTTTCGTTGAGTTTCGCAACCATGCATGGCTTTGTGTCGCCGTGGACTTTTAAGCCGCCCTCAGCGGAATGGGAGCCCAGAATTCGGGAGGCGCTTTCGTTGGACGACGATGCAGAATTGCCGGGATATGTGGTGGGAGACGTGGTAAGGAGGCGTGTGTATTTATGGCGAAGATCGCTGAAACTCTCGACTGCCCCTGTAAAGCATGAGCCAAATTTTTTTGGAAAAGAATTTTCAATATAAGGCCTAAGCTTGTGTGCAAAGTTTAACGAAAAACTAAGCGTTGCACTTGGTAGAATTTACTTGCAAACCAAGTCGTTAGTCTTTTCGTGTACTGCTTCAAGAGAAAAATACTTTGAGTCGCCCATATTTCAAGACAATTCTGTTTATATGTATTCCCAAAGGGCGTATCAGCTTTTTTGTAACACACCCAGTTTCAGCGAACATTTGGCGTGATGGCGTTGCACTTCATCGACATCTTTGTCATCATGTTCTTCTCCTACGCAGTCATCGTTGTAATGGTCTTCCTCTCCAAAAGGACCCTAACAATGGAAGAGGTGACTTCCGCAAGTCCACTCACCAAGGCCGTCCAACGACAGGTCACCCGGATCATCTACGTCCAGGTAAAAATTCTTAGAAATTATAATCTTACGCGTCAGAATTTTTTATAAATATTGGGCATTGTAACAACACGCTCTGAAATGACGGAATTTTACATTCTGTCTGAGTGGGAAATTAAAGTTGCGTGCTGCAATTTTTTTGCGACGAAAAACATTTATAGATTCCGTAAATAGTTTACAATTAGTACATATTATTGAACTTTAGTGTAACAAAAAATTTATGCATGTGTAAATGGACGATAGAGTGCAGAATTAAAGTGGCCTCATTGTATTTACATCTGCTCTACAATACACATACGTATCCTTTCACAAAAAAATTTAATAAGCATTTTAAGAGAATGTATAGTTGCTCTATTGGCAGTTTGAGATGCTGTTTTGATTCAAGCGTAGTTGAAGCATTTGTCGGGAAAATAATGAACACTTCGCGACATCGAAAGTCATACCGCAGCCGAGAAAATGAATTGTGTCGCGGAAAGATCAAAATATAATACTTTTCACTTAAACAGTTCAAAAAATTCGACAGATTGTCGTATTTTGCACTTTTCAGGCAATCTATCCGCTCTTTGTCGTGTGCGCGCCTTGCTTCATCTTTCCGATCCTTGCCGTCAAGGGCGCCGAGGTCAAGTTCTTTGGCGAATGGGCCATGCTTTCGATGCACACGCCTCCACTTGTCAACTCACTCTCGGTGATCCTTTGCGTGCCCAGCTACCGGGGAGTCGTCGCACATCCGTTCACGGCGGAAAAAGTCCGCTCGCTGTAAGTTTGGTGGAACACTTTACAAGATTACTGTAGCTGCCGGTGTCGCATGCCGGCAGCTACAAGTCGAGGTTGGACTGCATGGGCAGCCGAGATATATGTATATATTATATTTGAAGCCGAGAGAGTACGCAAAACTCGGAGTGCGGCCAAAACGGAAAGCACTTTTTGGCCATATCTCTGCTAATTTCGCACGGAAAATATGTATTTATTTTTTGGTGGAAACAAAACTCTCTACGATAAAAATAGGCATATAAACTTCTGAAATTTGCGACGATGTTTGGGATTTTTTCCGCGAAAATTATACACAAACTCGCATATGAGCTTCGCAGACCTTCTATTTCGGCTAGAAAAAAGTCTCGGTTCGTCTCTACAAAGCGCAAAACTCGCATATGCCCCAAAAAAGTAAAAACATAGGCAATAAGAAAGACATCTCGAGCCACTTATTGCTAACAAAAATTTTTAGGAACAAGAAATTTCTGCGATACTACCACGGCACCAAGATGACCTTCACCCAGCTACAGCCCACCATCACTGCTCCAATCTCTTCCAATTACATCACATAATGTGCAAGAATCTCGGCGAAGTTTCTGAACGCACAAAAAGGCCTCTTATATATGTATATTTAATAAGAGTATAATAAATAAATCAAAGTTTTCCAGTATGTGTGAGGTGTATCTGTCCCATTTTTATCAATAATTCGATAAAAGGGACGACGCTTCCGAATAGGGCAAAATACCGGTATGGTATCGCCTATGAAGGGTGTAGAAACGGGTTCTACTAAAGATAAAGCTGCCAAACACGTAGTAATATACGTTTATCCAGCTTAAACAATACAATAAAAGGTAAATGACGAGTAAAATGTAAATAACCGACAATAAAACCAAGATAAAAAGTAGTAAACGGGGCCTCGGGCTCACGCCCTTGTCCTGGCCTTCTCCTTGACCTCTCCTGTTCTTCCCGCTATCCTCCTATCTCCTTGTTCTCTTCCTGAAGGGTTTCCACCGTACTATGGCAGAATGCCACGGTTGTCTTCGTGTCGATACCATTTGGTTATGCAGGCGGGTTTGTCTTCGCTGGATCGGGTTGCTGTTATTGGTCTATATGGGCTGAATTGGGTCGGAAGCTGCTCCATCGTCAGTCGTAGCCGCGTGGACGGTCCTGGGTCTTCCGTATTTTGTCATCTGGTCCATAATGATTAAGCACAGAATCGGTGTGCTTAATACATGTTAAATAAGTACCCCCAAGTACGACGCTCAAATTTTGATGACACCTGGCACAATTTTAGAATATTGTTTTAAAAAATACTTGCAAGAATCCTAGTTCGCGACTTGCGGAAGCAACCGAGGTTTTTAGGTGGCGAAAAATTTGCCAATTTTTATTATACTTGTCACTTTATACATATATATTTTGTGAACATGTCGTGGGAGTTAGATACATTCTTTCATTTTTTCGGACAAAACGATCGCAAAAGCATTGTTGACTGATGCTTGCAAGTCATTTTTGACGTATTTCCCGAGTGCGTCGGAATAATTTGTTGGCCAACAAAAGGGCGTCAACCGTGATATCCTAATTATCTTCATATTCTGTCATTTTTCTCTACGTAAATGGACCGCGGTTCAATCTTTATTTCAAAAAAAATTGTCTGAGCTCAATAACTCCAGCCTTTTTGATATCTTTTTTTCTCTTGGTAAACGTATAATGCTGCAAGGATGTACATCTACTCGTGAAGCAACTTGGGGAAACAAAAATATCAGAATTTTTTGTCTCCTGCCACGAAAATAAATATGGAAAAATTTCAAATAAAAATTATTAGTACAGAGGTAAGATAATTAATAGTACATGGGCTGTTAATCTACCAAACTTTTTCAAAATGACGTCAAATTAACGACGTCTTGTCCTTCTGCCAGATATTAGAACGCATGCAGACGGTCACCTTAATTTTTCTCTCTTGTTATGCATACATATACAGTAGTTGACAGCGAGTTGTCAATTTTTTTATTTCGAGTGTAACTTTACGCAGACTCAACAGAATTTGATGAGACCAAGAGCGTTTAAGAGGCTGGGAGACCCGCTTTAACCCTGTGCAATTGTTTTATTTCATATCAGCCACAGGCGTGGTAAAAAGTTTAAAACAAATTTTTTTGGTGGACAACGAATTGTCAATTTTTACATTTCGAGGTATAAGATCCCAATAAGCCAGCATACAAGGACTACAATAAAGAGTAATCAGTTGCTAGCAATTATAGAACAGCGTAGAACCGGTTTTAGCCCCTTGTATAATCTCCTTCGCCTTCTATGGGTCGGGCACTTGGGGGTAGACCATGTACAATATAATGACAGCTTAGGGGTCTCAAAGGCCAAAATTATTTGATATTCCGGTTTTTTGTGGGCGGCTACATCTTACTACGATAGGGCAAGTCAAAAAATTACTGCTAAATGTTTACACTTGCGCCTTTTTACCTCAATTATGTTAATCATGGCCTTTCATACTGTTGGTCAGAGTATCAAAAATCAAAAAATGTCGCGCATGAAGATCGTTGGAGCAACCTTCGATATTTGAGAACAAACTACACTAAAACACGAATATTTATTGCCTTTTATATGTCAGTACCAGCATTCATGGAAGAGGTATGCATAGGGAAATATTTCCATTCACATGAATTTTCAAGTCGGGTTTGCAACACCCAGAAAAAATTATATTTCGTGAAGTCTGCAACTTCCAAAATATTTTATTTGCATATTTAAGGATTTTTACAAGCATTAAAAAGCTTAGTTAAACGTAGAAGACGTGCAATAAAATCATTAATTTACTCATCAGTGGCACATGAATTAATTGGACCGTCAGAATCTCATCCGGAAATGTTAGGGCGTTCAGACAGGTAATGAAATAATTTGTATAATGTCATCAGCTTGGCCGTAAAGAAAGTTTAAATGAACCTACGCCCCCTGTCGGCAAGAAAATTATCGATTTTTGGGAGTAACACAGGGTTTAGATGACCATAAATAATATTATCTGACGAATGCTTGACCCTTAGCTCCTCCTAATTGTAATCTGGTGCAATTTTGTTACACATAAGCAATACTCTTCCATTAAAAACCGGAATATCAAATAATTTCGGCCTTTGAGACCCCTATGCTGTCATTATATTGTACATGGTCTACCCCCAAGTGCCCGGCCCATAGAAGGCGAAGGTGGTCACACAAAGGGCTAAAACCGGTTCTATGCTGTTCTATAGTTGCTAGCAACTGATTTCTCTCCATTGTAGTCCTTGTATGCTGGTTTATTGAGATCTTATGAATCAAAATGTAAAAATTGACAATTCGTTGTCCACCAAAAAAATTTGTTTTAAACTTTTTACCACGCCTGTGGCTGATATGAAATAAAACAATTGCACAAGGTTAAAGCGTGTCTCCCAGCCTCTAAAACGCTCTTGGTCTCATCAAATTCTGTTGAGTCTGCGTAAAGTTACACTCGAAATAAAAAAATTGACAACTCGCTGACAACTACTGTATATATACAATAGGCAAAGTAATGTATCGGACATTCCGCTTCCTAAGTCGTAAACCCGCGATTCAAAAGAATAGACTGGCTTTAATTTGTGGACAGCGACAGATATCTTTCCTGCAACATGACTTGTTTTACCCAGTTTCACGTTCGAGCCAAGCTCTTGCTCTGCGCTCGCTCTTAAGGTGTAGTTGATTGCACGGTGCAAATTTTTCCAAATTTCAGGTTTCGAAATGGAGCGTCTGCGAGATATTTTGCGACGCTCCACCAACAAATTTCGAACGGTACTGGTGGGAAAAAGCTTCTTGGGGCAAATTGCACTATGCAAAACAATGCCGCGACGTGTGAAAAGGGGATGTTGTATAGTGCATTGTGCATTTTCGAGAAATAACAAAAATTTCTCTAGCTTTCAGCCGCTTAGGCTGCTTAGGCTTACAGGGGAAGTCCTCCAACTGCAAAGCTCAGATTTTTTTCAAATTTTGCACACACATTGGTCATGGACTAAGCATTAATTCCTGAAAGTTTTAGCTCGCGCTTTGCAAGTGCAGCCGAGATATTGAACGGTCTTTGCCGCCGAGAGAGCATGCGAAACGCGGAGAGCGGTCAGAGAGAAAAACAATTTTTGTTCGTAACTTTGCCAGTTTCGTGCGGAAAAAAATTGGTTTTTTGTGGAAGCATTACCTTCTATGGTAGAAATAGGCATAAAACTTTTTGTGCCGAAATTCGGCAAAAAGTGTCAAATTTTTGCCAACTTTCGAACTAAAAATATGGGTTGTCTTTGCAAAGCGCGAGCTAGGATTCTCGCATATATTTTAGAAAAAATTACTCTAAATTTGTACCAAGTTTCATCAAAATCTGAGCGTCGCACTTGGGGTACTTCCCCTGTTAGCTCAGGCTTCTAGTTTGCTGAGCCGCTTAGGCTTCTTGGGCTTAAGCTAATTTCTTGGCTGCTTTGCGCGCACAACCGCGCTTGGAGTGTAGGCTGACGAGTCGCGTAGCGACGTAGTCAGGCTACATCCAAACGCAGCTTGTCATTTTTTATGCTAGCGACGGCAGGCAGCATTGATAAAATACTTTATTGCACAAACAAATTTTGGGAGGGGTTCTTACTGTAAGAACAAGATGTTTCATCAAACGTTCACGTCGCTGAAGTGATAAGAAATTTGTCGCAACACAATTCATTTTTTCGGCGGCGATGCGATTTTCGATGCGACAAAGCGCTCAATATTTTCACGACAGGCTGATATAAACGTTTCCTTGTCAAGTCTTCTACTACATATACAGGGTGCGGCAAAAAAATGGAAACTTTTTTCATTGGGTCCTGACGCAAAAATTTTTAAGTGCAGCAAAATTATTTTCATACCATTAAATTCTACGTAGCTTTCTCTCCTAGACCTTATAATTTCATATCCATATCGGTTTATTAACATTATTTTTTTGAATGACAAACAGAGGGACCTCGATTTCGGACCTGTTTTTTTACCTGTGCGAACTGTTAATTTGCCCGGCATAGAAAGCACGTTGTGTCCAAAGTAATCACACAATGCAGGGAGCTTTTTGACAATTTTAAGCGTCCAGTAAGCGAAAGAAAACGCACCGCCCACACTTCTGCCAGCCGCAGAGTCATCAATAGCGAAATCCGTCGATTTCGAGAAAAAATTGCCCGTGAGACCGGCATCAGCGACCGACCAGTCGGCCAAATAGCTAAAAATCAACTCAAAGTCTCCCCACGCAAGGTCTGAAATGCCCAACTCCTAATCGGCAAGATCAAGCCCGTACGCCTGAAAAAATGCCGAAAATTCCGACGTCGGGCCGCAGGTCCGCGATGGGAGCGCATTCCATTCGCGGTGCAATGTTTGGCGGGTGCACAACCAACAGAACGTCATAGTCCAATCCGATGAGGCCCCCTGCACGTCGGCTAACGACGAACACCGTCAAAATAAGGGCCGTCATCGCCTAAGGCGGAATTTGTGCCAGCGGCAAGAATTCCGAGATTTTCGTGGATCAAGCGGGCAAAATTCTAGCGCCGGGTTAACTTCGATTTCCTCATGCTTCTGTTGGCTCAGTAGAACCTTGGCAGCGCAAATTTGACGTTCCAACTAGACTCAGCGCCGACTCACAGGGCAACAACGAGTCAAGACCGATTTTGAGACGATTTTCCCGATTTCACCCCGTCTGCGAAAAGAGCGCCTGCTCGCCGGGTATAAATCCAATGGACTGTAATTTTTTTTCAATTGGAGGCCAGCATCTGTACTACACGCCACAAAAGTTTGGAGTCGCAAAGTAATCGCTGCGTCAAGAACGGGACCGATTTCCCCGAAAAAAGCTGCGGCCAAAAGGCCAAAATTTTAAGTCACATTTGGAGCTCTACATCGCCACCAAAAGCAGCCACGGTAAAACGGGTTGAATATGTTATAAACAATGCTCTATGTTATTGAAGATGACCGTTACTTTTGCGGAATTTGGATTGCTAGGAAAAATATAGCTATAAAAATAAGTTTCCATTTTTTTGCCGCACCCTGTACTTTCGTTTGTTGCCATGTTCCTCCATAAATTGTTGCCAATTCCCCTATAGTAAACTTATTTACATATTGACAACAGACTTTTGATTAGATTATACGCATGTCTTGAAATGTTTTTCCGACCTTTGGCAACAATAATTTAATCCTCGCTCGGAAATTAGGTTATTGAATCAAAAAATGTCTTTTTGTCCGGCATTGGAAACAATATCAATAATTAAATTATGATAGGTTTTAACAAAGACGCCGTGGTTGCCAAAGTATCAGTCTGTCGGGAAAATAAATGGGCGACATGTTCGGCACCGTAAGGTTGCTGCGCCGATCGTGCTTACTTCACTCTAGTGCAGAAATAAAATTCTGGTCTGCTTTGCGCATCCTCGTTCCGATAGTAGCGGTCTATGTTTTTGACTGTACATATTTCTGTCTATCTACCTGGAGTATTTGATGCGCTCGAGTTCTAGAAGAATTTTTCAAATTGTTCAGGATGACGTTTCCGCGCGCTCATTCTGCTGTGCCTTTTAGTAAACTGTTGAGTTTGATTCTGTTGCCAATCTAAAGACCCCTTTTGCACCGCGCTTCTAACGGCGTAGGAAGCGCAATGTCAACAAATTTTTTTGAGTCAGCGAAAACATAATGGGCGAAATTGCAAACATTACTACGTGGAATATCGCTTTAATTTGTTCTTTTCATCATCATTTTTAATGCAATAGACAAAGAAACTTTTTTTGACATTTCGTTTCCCTTGACGTAAAAATCGCGATTAAAAGGTAGCTGAACTGACCCTTTGAACTTTCGCTTTTTCAGTGATGGAAATAAACCGGACCGTTGTTCACTGCTGGTTCGATGCAACCGTCAGCATCTTTGGCATGTTCTTCTCCGCGGTTGTGGTTTTATTAGCAGCGACAAAGGTGAAAAACAAGGCTCTCAAATCATACAGCCTTATGCTGATCACAAACGCAACGGTGGACTTTGTCTATGCGTTGAACACGTTGTTGACATTCACAGTGAGTTGAAGTAATACGTAGCGCTTTTGAAATAACATTTATTTTGCACCACATCAGATTTTGCAACTATATACTAAAGTTACAAATGAACCATATATTTTTTCGCCTTGAGGTATTCTGCAAAGACTGAAAGTACTTCCTAACACTACTTTTCAAGGGCTTTCGAACGGTATATAACGCTTCTTATTTGGTGAGGGTCAGTTTGTACACTTCTCTAGGAAGGAATGCGCCTACCGTTTTACAGGCGGTTTCAAGAAATTTGGAACAAATTATTTGCTTATATCTTTGTTGTCTTTGCAGCTACCAACGAATTTCTTTTTGCTTGTAAAAATTGACGTCGTGCGTTGTTAGAATCTCTAAAAATTTTTTTTTTCGTTTGCGGAGAGCCCATTTCTCGGCGGAGAAAATTAGGGCCTTTTTGAAAAATCACATCGTATTACGTGTCGGAAACGTCGTTGCAACGACTGAAATTAAGTTTACGTAACAACTCCATGGATTTTACGGATGCTTTTTTTTGCGTTTTCGATTTTACGCCCTTCCGCGGATGCGCGGCGGAGACCTCACAATCAGATTTCGGCGGACGTTGTTTTGGGCCTTTGGCTTATGCAATTCATGTTGGAAAGAGGTTGGGGTGATTTTTTGTTGTCATCCGATGCACAGATGGCAAAAATTTCGTGCTTTTCATCCTTCTAAAAACGCACGACGTCAATTTTAGAAGCAAAAAGAAATTCGTTGATAGCTGCAAAGAACACAAAGATATAGGCAAATTATTTGTTCCAAATTTCTTGAAACACCCTGTATTTCTAACAATAAGCCGAGTGTTTTGAAACTACAGGGTGTTTCAAGAAATTTGGAAGAAACTAGTTGCGAATATTTTTGAGCTCTTGCTAGTTATCGCAGAAATTCTTTTTGTTTCTAAAACTTGACAGCGGGCGGTTTTGTACTGAACAAAAAAAATTTTTTTTTCGTCGGCGGAGAGGCCAGTTCTCGGCGGAGGCATTTGGGGCCTTTTTTAAAAATCACACCTTATTACATCGTGGAAACTCTGTTACAGTGGCCAAAATCATGTTTACGTTAAACCTCTGTGGATTTTGCGGTATGCTTTTTTTGCGTTTTCGATTTTACGCAACATCCGCGGAGGCGCGGCGGAGACCTCAGATTTCGGCGGACTTTGTTTTGGGCCCTCGGTTTTTGCAAATCCATGTTGGAAAAAAGGTTGGGGCGATTTTTTGTTGTCATCCGATGCACAGAGGGCAAAAATTTTGTACTTTTTTCCCCCGGCGGAGGATTCGGCGGAGGCTTTCTCAAAGGGTCAAAACAAAATTTTGACTCTTTTGATAAAGCCTCCGCCGAAACCTCCGCCGATGGGTCCGCCGGATCAAAAAATAAGAAAAATGGTGTTGCTGTGATGGATTCTTGTAGCTGAGTTTTTTCCCGGACTCCTAAGACTGTTCTGACCCTTTGGTAAAGCCTCCGCCGAATCCTCCGCCGGGGAAAAAAGTGCGAAATTTTTGCATCTGTGCATCGGGTGACAACAAAAAATCACCCCACACTTTTTTCCAACCTGAATTGAATGATCCAAAGGCTCAAAACGACGTCCGCCGAAACCTGAGGTCTCCGCCGTGCCTCCGCGGATGAGCGAAAATCGAAAACAAAAAAAGCATACCGCAAAATCCACGGAGGTTTAACGTAAACATGATTTTGGCCACTGTAACAGAGTTTCCACGATGTAATAAGGTGTGATTTTTAAAAAAGGCCCCAAATGCCTCCGCCGAGAACTGGCCTCTCCGCCGACGAAAAAAATTTTTTTTGTTCAGTACAAAACCGCCCGCTATCAAGTTTTAGAAACAAAAAGAATTTCTGCGATAACTAGCAAGAGCTCAAAAATATTCGCAACTAGTTTCTTCCAAATTTCTTGAAACACCCTGTATAACTGAACCTGTTTGTTAGCACCAAGTATCCACAAAGTCTAGGTACAAAATTTGGACTTTCGGACCAGATTAAACTTTTTGTAAAGAGTTTATTCAAGAAACATCATGTATTTCTGAAATTTTTTTGTCTGATTGCCACACTACTTGCGTGTGTCAGTATAAACATGCCCTAAAAGTGTGAAAAGAAGTTTCAAGAATAATTGCAATTTTTAGTTCGGTGCGTGTCGGAAAGTACAGTGTTTTGTGATGATTAAAAGTTCGTTTAAGGCATTCATAATCAGGCTTTTTAAAGGCACGGAATTGACTTGAACTTATATATTACACGCAAACCTCATCATAAGAGGTTAATTGCTGAAAGGTTCCACTCGCGCATTGCAGAAGGAAATGCATGAAGAACCCCATGCATTTCGCGATCTGTGCCGAGGGAGTGCACGAAACGCGGAGACTTGTCTGAAATGAGAAAAAAAGAGATTGAAAGCTATTTTTTGGAAATGAAACACTTACAGTGAGGGACCTGATCCAATGGCAAAAAACGTCTCATTTTGCATCCCGGAAGGGACCAAAATGACTCCAAACCATGCCCTTCTCTAATCTATTTAAAAAACTCCGCTTTGAAAAGCGCGCCCTTTCCTTCAAGGCGGGCTCTTCAAAGCGGGGTTTTTTTGCTTAGAGAAAGGAAGGGCTTGGAGATATTTTGGTCCCTTCCGGGATGCAAAATGAGACATTTTTTGCCATTGGATCCGGTCCCTCACTGTAAACCCGAAATTTGCAAAAAAATGCCATATTTTCACCAAATTCTCGCCCAAAACCCTCCATCGTTTTTGCAAAGCGCAAACTGTTTTCAGGCATTGAAATGAGAAGTGATAAATACTCTCTATGACCTGTATGCCTTCCAAAATCATCATCAACCATTTTCAGACCGCAGTGTTCGGTGAAAAGATTGTGTTCATGTTGATGGACAACTACCCTATTACGTCAATAATTGGGCCTTACGCGGCCCTCTCAACACAACTTTTCTTAATGTTCCTCGGAGTGGCAATGCTACCTCTTCAGTTCATTTATCGCTACGGTGTAATGATACAGAAGCCTTTCACAAATTGCCAAATGTTCTTAATGTTTTGTGGTTCTCTGATGCTTGGAGGGTTGCACGGAGGTCTATCGCCCTTCACATTTAGGCCAAGGAATGAGTACTACGACGAAAAACTTCGAGAAGCCATGGATGTTGGGACAAATTTTACCTTGCCGTTTTATGTAGTTGGAGATGTGGTAAGCCAGAATATGCTAGCTGTTTTTATTTGTCTTGCAATTCAAGCTTAATTTTGTAATTTTTTAGTCAAAATTCGGCATTATGTCCCTCCATTTCATCAATATATTCGTCATCATGGCAATCTCGTACAGCATAATCATTACAATGGTTTATCTGTCCAAGCGGTCCGTTACTCTTGTCTGCTCCGATCAGCTGTCAAAGCAGACAAGAACGGTTCAGAAGCAAGTGACTAAAATCATCTACCTCCAGGTAAGAGAATTCGCTTTACTTACCGTAGAGGATCGGACCATGTGTGAAAACACATGATAAAAAAAAGAAAAGCTGTTTTCCTTTGAAGAGACCCAACGGAGATGCTCTTTTGCTAGTTAGTTTGTCAAGTCGCTGAAGTAATTTTTGGCGTTTGCCGCGACATTATTTTCTCGGGAGCGATGCGATTTTGGATGCGACATTCCGCTCACTATTTTCCCGGCAGACGGGTACAGTGCCGGACTTGATCCAGTGGCAAAAAACGTAGCATTGGGCATCCGGAAAGTGTCAAAAAATGTTGCAAAATACCTCCCTCACGTCAGAATGAAAATAGAAGAAAAACGAAATTTCGTGAGGGGCCGCAGCGAAAAGGAACGGCCGATTTTTTTCTTCTTTCTCTGACCGCTCTCTTCCTTTTTGTGCGTGCGCCCTCTTCCTCTCGCCAATCGCAAATCGTTATTTCGCGGATCGCCACGGCTTTGACGAAATTCCCTTTTTATTTTGACGTGTCCCTCTCCAAGTGAAAAAACTCGAATTTGAAAAACCACGCCCGCACGTCAAACTGAGATAAGCTAAAACAGTCCGGTGAATGGATTGGCAATCTGCCAAAAAAAGACGCAAAAAAACGTTTCGTCGGGGAAGAAATGGGGAATTTTTGGGGCGAGAGAGTACGCTTTTGTGTGTCTTTTTTCTCTCTTTCTCTGCGAAATCAAGACGGAGTGAAAAACACCGATAGCGAAGAGTCTATTCCGGTCTCAGTTTGACGTGACCCGCTCTTTTTGTGAGGGAAAGGGCGCGCAGTTCAAAACGGAGTTGTTTTAGTTGGAGACGGAGGTATTTTGCTACATTTTGTGAACTTCCTGGATGCAAAGTGAGATGTTTTTTGCCACTGGCTCAGTTCAGGTGGCAATTACTGTAATAGGGCATCTCTCTTGGTTCATTTCAAAGACAGCCTCTATTTTTGTGTTGGGGTGTGAAGGGACACATTTCTCACTCAAGTTGCATATGGTGATGCTTTTTGACATATAAAAAACATCACCATATATAGATCCCTTCCAAGACCATAGTAGCGGAAAAAGCATACGTTCTCATAAAGCGTGTTGCATTGCACTTTTGTTTTCAATTTTATTCCATTTACAACGCACGTAACTTTTTTAACATCCTGTTCTTTTGCGCGTTTCCAAACCCAAATTTTAAATTAAGAACTACATTTCAATTAAAAAAAATCAAAATCCCAACTTCTAGGCTCTATATCCGGTGCTCTTCGTCGCCATTCCATGCTCCATTTTTCCGATAATCGCTGTAAAGGGCTGGCAAGTCCCGTACTTCGCGGAAGTTGCCATGTCCTTAATGCACACACCGCCCTTGGTCAACTCAGTGCTGGTGATAATGTGTGTGCCCAGCTATCGACGCAGTGTAATGCGTCCATTTCGTACGAATTCGGCTCGGGAGACTTCAACGATTGGCTGAAAGTCATTATCCGTAAATCCGAAGAGTTAGACGACGGGCAGAAAGCCGTCAAACTGCCGAATCTGCTGTCGACTACACAGAGCGACCACTATTTGAATTTCTTAAAATAAATTGGATTTGTTTACTGAGAACCTATGGTAAAAGCTACGATTCTGCACTAGACGGGACAAGAAGTTTTTTGTATGTTTTTGCACAAAAAACTTGTCGCATGGCACGTCAAAAAACTTCTTTCAGAAAATTGAAAAAAAGGAATCTCGGATTATTGTTTTTTGCGAAGTGCCACAGAATTATCGAGATAGAAAAATTATTGGAGGAATTTTTTTTCGCCCGCAAATGGACTTTTCGATGCCCGCAAATTTTCGCGGTTTGCGACCGCAAATTAAATCGAAATCTGCCCGCACTTTTTCTGCCCGCAAATTATAAAAATGTTGTAAAACGCCTGAAACATGGTTGATTAGTGAAATATTTGTATAATAAATTTACATATGCAAAAGTGTATTTGACAAAAAATTTTTTGAGAAGTGTCTCAGACGCATGTTTTCTGAAATAAAATTCCAAATCACGGCATGATATCATGTTTTTGGACAAAGCTGATGAATATGGAGTCCAAACCAAGTTATTATGAAGGCTGAACAAAACTTTTTTTTGATTTAACGAACTTTTCGATGCCCGCAGATCGGAAATTCGGGTCCTCAGGCATTACCAATGTAAAAATCTTCATTTTTATCTTCCATAAGTCACATTATGACACTTTTCACGACCAAAAATTTTTTTCAGTAGAAAAGTTCAAATTTAAATTTGCGGGCAAAAAAAGTTCCAAAAATTTTCGAATGCCCGCAAGTCGGAAAATCGGGTCCTCAGACGTTACGAATGTAAAAATCTTCATTGTTATCATTTTTTGTGTAATTTCAAGCTGCCACGAGACAACTGCTGCACATCTTCAGGCGGAAAATTTGAATTTTAGCTTTGCGGGCAAAAAAAGTTTGAAAACTTTTGGATGCCCGCAGATAAAAAAATGCTCCAAAATGTTTCGTGAGTCACCGTAATGAAAAAACCTTGGTTGCTATGTCAAGATTAGACGTTATGATCGTTCCGACGGCAATTGGGGCCGATTTGTTTGCAGGAAAACGGTTTCTTGGCAGAAAAAATATTTGCGGGCAAAAAAAGTTCCAAGAATTTTTGAATGCCCGCAAATCAAAAAAGGCTTCCAAATCAATTAAAACTTGTTGTATTGGGTAAAATTGGGTTAATAATGCTACTATGACAAGTTTTATGACCATTGACACCGATTCTTTGGTTGAAAAGTTCAAATTTAAATTTGCGGGCAAAAAAAGTTTGAAAACTTTTTTTGCCCGCAAAGCTAAAATTCAAATTTTCCACCTGAAGATGTGCAGCAGTTGTCTCGTGGCAGCTTGAAATTACACAAAAAATGATAACAATGAAGATTTTTACATTCGTAACGTCTGAGGACCCGATTTTCCGACTTGCGGGCATTCGAAAATTTTTGGAACTTTTTTTGCCCGCAAATTTAAATTTGAACTTTTCTACTGAAAAAAATTTTTGGTCGTGAAAAGTGTCATAATGTGACTTATGGAAGATAAAAATGAAGATTTTTACATTGGTAATGCCTGAGGACCCGAATTTCCGATCTGCGGGCATCGAAAAGTTCGTTTAGACAAAAAAAGTTTTGTTCAGCCTTTGATAACAACTTGATTTGGACTCCATATTCATCAGCTTTGTCCAAAAACATGATACCATTTCGTGATTTGAAATTTTATCCCAAAAAACACGGATCAGAGACACTTCTCAAAAGCTTTTTTTGTCAAATGCATTTTTACATATGTAAATTTATTAATTACACCGTATTTATACAAATATTTGACTAATTATCCATATTCCAGGTGTTTCATAACCGTTTTATAATTTGCGGGCAGAAAAAGTGCGGGCAGATTTCGATTTAATTTGCGGTCGCGAACCGCGAAAATTTGCGGGCATCGAAAAGTCCATTTGCGGGCACCGAAAAGCACGTCCAAAATTATTTTTCTTTTTGAAAAAACATTTGTCTCGAAGAAAAACCTTTTTTCTCTGGGAAAGTTTTCTTTTGTGATTCGATAATTCAGCGACATTTCGTCAAAAATCAATGATCCGAGATTCCTTGTTTTTCCCTTTTTCTTTGACGTGCATAGCCACAATCAAAGCAACGTGCACCTACTTTCGCAATGTGCTGTTCGTCGCGCAAGGCCGGTCGTCCGCATTGCGCAAAAAAAGGTCAATGCGTTTTATTGCCCGAGTAGGATTGGACTTTGCCGCACAAATTTTTTTGGAAATTACAATTTACTGTTATGCGTCAGATGTGTTCGTGCAACAGCTAAATTCTTGCTTTAAAAAGACCGCATGTAGACAGAAAACGAAAAAAAATTCTCAGAGATGCAGGTACAGTTTAATCTACGGGCATCACAAGGACTCAAAAACCAGACGACCAAAAAATTGATTCCTTAAAGTTTGATTGTCTCCTCAAGGCAGCATAAATTCAAATATTTTATTGACAAGCTCAAGGGCGAAGATAGCTCCGTCATCCCCAAAAATTTGCAAATATTTAACTTATTTTTTTCAAAACTCACTGGTCGCGCCATAAAGTCCTGACACATTTGCACACAGCGTTTTTGTTTTTGTGGCCTAGGCCCGACAGATCTGGAAAATTTAAAGAAAATTTCACACCATGCACTTCCCTTGTAAATATTTTTACTTCATTAGATTGTCACGCGCAACACATACAATTTCTTAAACCGTACTTTTAAAATCAAGTAAAAATTCACGTTTTATTGCTCGTTGCGCCTCTAAAGAGCAATTTCAAAAAGCAGGAACATCCGCTTCACAGTCTGAATTACAGTATTTCATAATGGTGATCGGTTATTGGAAAGTACGAATTTCAGTATAAATATCAGCGCTCGCACTTGCAGGACCCAGTTTTTTGGGCCCAGTTTTTTGCCGTCTGCTTTAAACCAGTTGTTAAGGTGGAAGCAGCAAGAACGTTGATGCGCTAGATATTATCTTGCTGCAATCTCGGTTGATCTTTTTTTTGAAAAGTCTAGTCGTTTCAGTCAAGAGGTTGAGCAGTTCGGTATTTTTGTAATTTTTATCTCGCTATAACGTTTTGTAAATGAATATGTAAGAACTAAAAGTACGGCTTTCCGAATGGGCAGTTTTTGGGTATGAAGTGACATCCCTCAATTATTTTAGCATAGAAAGGAAGTGCCCCAGGTGCAATGCTCAGATTTGGATGAAAATCGACAGAAATTAATGTCATACGTTTTTAAGACGTGTTCATGAATTGTAGCTCGCGCTCTGCAGGAACTACCCAGATTTTTAGGTCGGAATTTGACAAATATATAACATTTTTTGGAAAGTGTTGGCATGAAAATGTCATGCCACCGTAGAGCAATGTAAAAAAAATTCACAAAAAGAAATTTTTTCCAGCCAAAATTGTCAGCGATATGGCCAGAAAGCGCATTTCTTTCTTTTTTTGACCGCCTTCTGCACGGTAGCGGTGACAAACATCGTCGAATATCTGTACACGAAGGTAGACACAATAGAAAATAGGGTTTATTGGCAACAGACGAGAAACGATGCAACCGCATACGAGAAGCGAGGCATCGGCCTTTCAGAATGGGAGAAACTGATCTGACGAATATTTCATCCTTTGTTTCTATGCAAAGTCATGTGAAACATATGGCGGTTTCAGTGAAGTCGCCAAGTGAGTTTAAAAACCGTTTTCATGGATTGACATGTTGATGGACAACTACCGGTTATGCCCGACGCGTCGCGACGTGTGTGTAAAATTTGAATAATGTCTGAGCGTCGAACCTTTGAATCATGACGATGATTCAACCTTTATGTTTTTTAAAATCTGCACTTTGGCAAAACATCTCAATAATTTCTTACATTATAGTTGGTTAGAAAGTTGTGATATCAAATCTGAGCTTTTTTTTGACAGAAACAGTTTTATAGCAGGAATTTTGGTCGATTTGGCAACATCAGCTCCCTGGAAAAGGCAACATATGTTAATGTTCTTTAATGCTATTGCTCTTATCCGCTTCCTACATTATTTGCCTCCTTGGGATCCTTTTAATGATCTGTCAAAACTTTTTTCCCGCCCGTCTGCTAATCCACTTACACTGACGCAAAAAACGTCGCTTCCAGGGGCTTTTCACGCGCTTTTGGGTCCATTTCCGAGTACGTTTTTGTTGCGATTATGTTGCGAACATCCCCCTCATCAATTATTAACTCTGTGTTTTTTGGCCACAGTAGCTTTGGGGTAATTAAGTGCCGACTTTTCCGGCTCTCCGACTTGACGATTTATGCTTTACGGCCAGATCCTTTTACGGGCGGTACGAAATTGCGAGACATGCAAGCTCGTGTGTCTCTTTGTTATTGCTGTTGATTTCTAATCATTCAAAAAATGTTGTAAACAGTTTTTTTCTGATTTACGATTCACCACATATACGGTTGATATAACAAGCACGAACAATATATTATAGTTATAATTGTTGCGCAAGTTGTAGAGGAATTCTCTTCCGTGTTGGTTCGTTGTAGTTTTATTACGTGTAGTAAATAATCTCTTGTATACTCCGTTTTCAAAGGGCACCGCAAGAGAAAGTTTATTCAGCTGCATTGATATACATAGAAATATATTTATTGACAAAGTGACGACCGCCGCTGCGGGAAAATACAGACAGAATAATACACGTTGATTGCTTGCAAGATTCCCATTCCTTTTATACCAACTTGTCGGTCATTCCGTGGGATTATGGAAATTCGAACGCGAAGCCGTGAAACCGAGAAACTTCTTGCTCGGAACAGCAGATGAACACAGTACCACTTGCGGCGGGTCCACACTTGCGGGCAACCACTTTGAGACAGCTTGAAAAACCACGGAGATTCTGCGGGCATGCTTTGAAATCACCCAACATTTGCTTACAGCTGGAAACTCAAACGATGAACTTGGCAACTAGATGTTGCGGATTAAGTTTCCGGACGTATAAGTGGCTTGAATGGTCACCAGAAGCCTATCCAAGCATTTTTACCATGTTTTGAAAACAACTCCCATAACTTTCAAAGCCGTAGATGAATTTAGCAGATTTGTGGCCTTGTCAGTGCCGGGGAGTTGTCATTGTAAAATTTCTATCGTACTGCGTAGATTACGAGAGAGAAATCAAAATTCTAATCAAAAAATGTCGGTTGCCCGCAAAGTGGTTGCCTGCAAGTGTCGCGACGCCCCACTTGCAAAATCTACATTTAGCGCGTACTAAGTATTCTAGGTCAAGTTTGCATAGTCTGTGCTTTCCAAAAAGCCCCTAAAATGTTGAAAAAGCCTTCCGCCAGGAAGCTCAAAACAACGAGCCACCCAAGTGTTTGAAAAGTAATCTAACGAGCCGTGTGACGGAAGGGTAATCAGGACCTGGAGGTTAATTATTATTGTGCATAATTAGCCGTTGTTAATTTGGCTTCTCAGTTCATAACGCTACGGAATTTTTACCACTCTATCGGAAAAATTATGAGCGCAATGTCGCATCGAAAACCGTATTGCTGCCGAAAAAATGGATTGCGTCACTGCAAAAACAAATTGCTCGTCAGTTCTGATCTTCGCAAGACATTGCCCTTATTACTTTCCCGGCAGACAGGTCTCACGTCCCTCTCTATAACTTTTGTTTTTTTGGTCCACATAAATACGCATACAAAGACGTTCATTTTGTGTATACTGTGAGTATTTATTTTAATAAAGTGCATCACAATGCAAAAAAAAGTCTACGCACTTTATGGAAAGAGTAGTATTCTCAAATGTTCACACAACACTCCGCACTGTACATTTTTCTGCGATTGCCGAGGTGATTTCCCGTTTTTGCAGTACTAGTCCGTTCGTAAAGTCGCTGGAATGTTTTCGGCGACATGCACTCCGCGAAACCGAAAGTTCAGTTTGCACTGTGCAATTTTTAGCTTTTTGCACAGTGCAATAGGCTTTTTCGGGCTGTCGCCCGCACCCTGAGTTTTTTTGCACGGTGCACGTCGCCGAAATCATTCCAGCGACTTTACGAACGGACTAGTAGCGATCGGATTTTTCGCGCAATAACCCGGTTTTTTTTGGGGGCGTTGCACGTCAAACCGAGATAAGCTGAAACAGTTCGGTGAGTAGATAGGCAATTTGCCAAAAAAAGACGCGAAAAACGTTTTGTTGGAGGAAAAATGGGGAATCTTTGGGGCGAGAGAGTACGTTTTTTCGTGTCTTTTTTCTTTCTTTCTCTGCGAAATCAAGACGAAGTGTAAAAAACCGATAGCGAAGGATCTATTCCGGTCACCGGACTCCTCAGTTTGACGTGCGTTGTCCTTTGCGCGTTATTCTGCCTTCTTCCCAACACACAGTGGGGGACTTGATCCAGTGGCGAAAAACGTTCCAGTTTGCATTTGAGAAGTATCAAAAATGTGGCAAAATGCTTCCCTCTCCAAGTGAAAAAAACTCCGATTTCAAAAGCGCGCCCGCTCTTTTCGAGGGCGCGCCCTTCAAAAACAAGTTTTCTTCGCTTGGAGAGGGAAGCATTTTGCCACATTTTTGATACTTCCCAGATGCAAAATGGTACGTGTTTTGTCACTGGATCAGGTCGCCCACTGTATTACTATTCTAAAATTTCTGAAGAATTGAAGTCCTTACAATAATTGTTTCTATCTTCCTGCTTATGAAAGCAAAGAATTTTCGCTTGCTACGTAGTGCTGACTTAATAATCGTTTAAAATATTAATGAATTCTTCCAATCCATTGTGCAAAAGAGCCCAAAAATTCTCCGTACAGTATTACAACTACCGTGAACTTTATGCAACTCACGGAAGATAAATCTCGCCAAATTTTTCCTAGGGCCAATTGTCCCTTGATCCTAGCTCCGCCTCAAGTCTTGTTTCGCCCACATTTCTTCTACTGTAAAACCTTTTCGACACGTTTTTACCGCTCTATAAGCACCATTACTCAGAAAGCCACAAAAGACTTTACACTGGGCGAATTCCAAGATGACTTGTCGCAACACCTTTCGCCCCGCAGGCCGAATTGGTTTACATCCCGAATGGGGCACGAAATGTCGCTGCAAGGGTAATGCTCGTGATGGGGACATTTGGGCTGGGCTTCCATACAGCTCGCTGCGAATTGCCCCGTATAAAAAGGGCCACGCCGCGGAAAGTGCAACATAAAGGATTTTAAATGGTGCCGTGCGTGTTGCGAGCTGTTTCAGTCCTCCGTCTTTTGTGCTTTTTGTTTTAGAAAAATCACTGTAAGAGGCGCAGGGTACTGTAGGCGGACGGTGCGGTCTGGATGCCCACTAGACATTTTCACGTATCAGTCAAATAGTACATTTTGTAAATGAGTCGGCGCAAAAAGTATTTGGAATTTTGGACAGTGCGGTTTTTTCACATTTTTGGTCGGATTCCGAACAAAATGATTAGTCGCTGCGAAACATGGAAAGGCAAAGACAAGCAAGATGCACTGTGCGAAAGGTGTTTTCGGGTCAAATGCACTGTGCAATCCACTTTTTTCGCTATTTTCGAAGCGACACACCAAAACGAGCAAATCTGCACGGTACATAATTCCAAATACTTTTTGCGCCGACTATATCAGTCTGTCGGGAAAATAACGGCGGATTGTCGCGCCTCGAAATCGCCCATCATCGCTTTGCGACGGCTGCCGAAGCCGTCAGAGTTAAAGATTTGGCGCGCGATAGCGGTGAGGCGGGGAATTTTGCTGCGACGACCCGCCGTTATTTTCCCGACAATCGAAGATCGTATCATTGCCAAAAAATAAATAGTGTTGCGACAAATAAAAATTGCTTTTCACTTCAGCAACACAACAAAATCGTGCTCATCATTTTCCCGACAGACTGATATTTTAATGCCTAAAAGACATCTCCCCATTTTCTGTTTTTTGCCTTTTTATTATTGCTTGAGCATTTTGAAATTTTGTAAACGAAATCGACTACTATTTGTCGACCACTCCGCTCTCGAATTAGAGAGGCTTCATATAGGTAGACCAGAAAAAAACGTATAGTACAACTGCATTCAGAAAGGAGATATCAAGGCGCTAAGTGTGAGAAATAAAAATTCTTTTCAATTACTTCTTCCCAACATTTCCGTGACTGCTGAAAAAATGTTTTTGAAAACATGCCATCGGTTTTCCACAGTAATTTTGAAACCGTTTCCGGTTTTTCCTTTAAAGGCTCGCTGTGTTTCTGGGAAGCCCGCATATCATAGATAATTAAAATACCCTGCAAACGGCGTGATTTGCATTTCGGAGGGCTCTTAATTACCAGAAATTGTATAACGCAATTCTTTAAAGCTTTCACGGGTTCCAGTCAGCGGCACGCATCTGTCGAAACATGCAACATGCACATTGTAACTTTGTGGGAATTTTAAGGCGGAGATTTTTACATTTTTTGTGTCTTGTAGGTGATGGAATGTTGTAGTATTGGTCGGGCGTGTAGTTTAGCTACTGTAAAACGGTTGCCTTAATTTTACTTATTTTTATCAGACGCGACTGCTTTATAGTATAATATTACATCCGTCAAGTGAATAATTACTGTGCCATATTTCAGATGGAGCTAACGCGAACGACTGTTCACTCATTCCTTGACTTTTGGACCGGTCTCCTTGGTATCATCGCTTGCACTTTGGTTATCTTCCTCTCTATCACTCGGGTAAAGAACCGCGCGCTTCAAGTGTACTCGATCATGATGGTCACTACGGCTTCTGTGGAGCTAGCGCAAGCGATAACAACCGTAGCTACTTTTACAGTAGGTTTTAAAAGTTGAAGCACACGCTCTTGATCCCACCTCTGCTTTCATCAACCCTCCTAATCTCTTTGTTTTAGACGGGCTGTTTCGGAAACAAGATCGTATTCATGCTGGTGGACAATCCCTGGTACCCCAAACAGCAATCCATGACATACTTCGCAGTCGGGCTGCAGCTATTCCTTATGTTCTTGAGCGTTTCCATGCTCCCGCTGCAGTTTGTCTACCGATACGGGGTTATGCGAGGGAAGCCGTTTACAAAAGTTCAGCTGCTTGGAATGTTCTTCATCTCCGTCTGCTTTGCCGGCCTTCATGGTGGCCTAACACCGTTCACATTCTTACCCGCCAGCCCGAAATACGATATAGCGTTAAGAGAGGCATTGGACGCCCCGCCGGATCAGCCACTGCCAGGGTACTTGGTTGGTGATGTGGTAAGTAATTGCCGTAACCTTTTCTGTCGTAAAATTCTTCGTTTACTCATACCTGCAAAAAATTGAACCTTTGTATAGGTGAGCTTACAACGCCATCTTTCTATACGTCGAAAATTGTAATACACATAATGTTTCAAGCGATCATACAACCTTTCGTGTTATACCGACTGTTTTTTACTTTTTAATCATTACAAATTTTTTCAGCACGAATTCAACGTCATGGCGGCTCATTTTGGAAATGTTTTAGTAATCATGGCGAGCAGCTATGCTGTCATCATAATTATGATTATTTTGTCGAAGAATACGGTAACGTTGAAGTCGACTGATTCCGTGTCCAAGCAAACACAGGCTGTCCAACGACAGGTCACCCAGATTATCTATCTTCAAGTGAGTTTTAGGCAGGCCATCTTTTTTCTAACTCTCCTTGCTTAAGTTCAACAACCTTTTCAAACATTTCCAGGCCCTGTACCCGGTGATCTTTGTTTGCCTCCCTTGCCTACTATTCCCCATCTATGCCGTCCAAGGGAAAGCGGCGCCCTACGTCGCCGAATGGGCCGTCTACTCCATGCATACGCCGCCATTAATCAACTCCTTGGCCGTCATCATGTGTGTGCCAAGCTATCGGCATTTCGTATCGAAACCGTTCCGTTCCGAGAAAGTTGTCTCCACTTCCAATTCTTAAATCTAAACTTTTATCCAAGACAATACTATTTTAACTGCGCTTTCATCATTTTTATTGCACAATGTCAAAAAATATTTGGTTAGAGTATGTCAGTAATTGTAGAATTTTGTCTTACTGGAACGCAAATATCACTTCACTCCGTGTGAAGCACAAATAATCATATTAAGTATTGTATGTAAATAACGAGTCTTCTGTCATTCCAAACTTCTAACAAATATATCAGCAATAAATTGTAATTATAAGCGATTTCGGTTTATTTCAACGTCTGGCGTTATCGGTACAGCACGATAAATTGAAAAAAATAATCTTGTGGGAGATCCCGATGAGGATCAGTCTGTCGGAAAAATAAGGGTGGGCCGTCGCGCCTTGGAATCGCCCATCATCTCTTTCTAACCGCAGTTGGAGATTTTGTGCTACACCCTTTTTTTCGACGAGGCAAAAAATTTTCTATATTTTCCCGACAGACCGATACTTATGGCAAGAAAAGAAGTCATTCTACCACCTAGAATCCTTGTGTCAAAGGGTCTTAGCGGCCTCAGTTTGCATTTTAAAACATTGTGATTTCACACAAAAAAATAATGTCAATAAAAATACATATCCCAGAAACGAAGTCTCTTCATCGCCTCCGCCGTATGTTATAGCCTCCGACTTTCATTCATGTTCCTTGAAAGACCCTGTACAGTGAAGGACCCGATCCAGTGGCAGAAAACGTACCATTTTGCATCCGGGAAGCATCAAAAATGCGGCAAAATACTTCCCTCTCCAAGTGAAAAAACTTCGTTTTGAAGGGCGCGCCATTTCGCTCTCAAAAAGAGCGGCCGCGCTTTTGAAATCGGAGTTTTTTTTCACTTGGAGAGGGAGGCATTTTGCCACATGTTTAATGCTTCCCGAAAGCAAAATGGTACATTTTTTGTCACTGGATTAGGTCCCCCCATTGTATTTATCGAATCTTTGGCCAAAGTTGCATACAGTAATAAGAGGACATTGATATTTTATTTTGAATTGTGAAGGCGAAATGGAACACTGTTCCAGAAATATCGACATTAAACAAAATGTTGCACGACATGCACTTTAAAGAAAGACTGTTTAATTTTGTTGTACAACTAGATTCGGGATACAAAACACAGACTCCCAAGAGTTCCGTGAAAAACGACGTATTATACGTATTTATAATAGTGGTTGCGTTCTGATTACAAAGTGCCGTTTCCGGGTTTCTCGATTGACGGAAGGAGTTTGTGTTTTAGCGGACGAGCGGCTTGATCGGCACGTTCTGAAAGTAGGAGAAATCCTTCGTCAAATCTTTTTGAATCTCAAGCAGGGCCGTAGCGTACCAACAATTCTGAGGAAATTGCCTTGGTCCCCTTCACCTTCGACCTTGGCCTGAAAGGGAGGTACCACCCCCTGACCCTTGCCCCACCTAGCTACGGCCCTGATCTAGAGTTTTACGACTTGATTAAGTTTTACGACTTGAAACGAGTGTCCACGTTTATTGAAAGATGTCACATTGTCGGGAAAATAATGAGCATTATGTCGCTTAAAAGATCGCATCGCCGCCGAGAAAATGAGTTGCGTCGCGAAAATCAAATTATTTTTCAATTCAGCGACACTGCTCATTATTTTCCCAACAGACTGTCACATTCTGTTTTACACTCAAAGTTCAAACACACCTTCAAAATACGAGCCAATATCCAACACTGAGTCGACGGCTGTCTTCTCGGCTACGCTCAACACGTTCCACTTTTTAATCAGCCTCTCAAGCCGACCATCCAGAATCTTCCCTCCCGGCGTTTCTAACTCCTCAGGTTTCACCAAGTCGGCTTCAATGAAGTACTCTGTGACTTCGTTGATAAACGCCTTGCTCACTGCATCGACATCTTTGCGAGTTTCCGTTAACGTCTTTGTGGCTACTTTGGCAAACTTTTTGAACATTTCCGGATACGACTCTAGGATTTGCACGCGGGTTTTGGTCGAGTTTTGATCGTGCATGTGCCGGAGGACCTTCTTCTCGTCTTTGGAGAGGTTCCGGATGAATAGCGGCATTGCCTTGATTAGGTTCTCTAAAGTGAAAATGAGATTTTCTCGGTAGAGAAAATTGAAAAAGCCGCTGAAGAGTGATTTTTGCGGCTTTATTTCTCACAGGGGAAGTACTCCAAGTGCGACGCTTAGATTTTCTTTAAATTTTGCACACACGTCGGGTATGGACTAAATATCGATTCCTGAAATTTTTAGCTCGCGCTTTGCGGGCGCCGCCGAGATATCGAACGATTTTTGCCGCCGAGAGAGCACGGTAAACGTGGAGATCGGTCAGAGAGAAAAACGCTTTTTGGCCATAACTTTGGCAGTTTCGTGCGGAAAAATTTGATTTTTTGTAGAAACATTGTCCTTGACGGTAGAAATAGGCACAAAGTTTTTCGTGCCGAAATTCGGCGAAAAGTCCTAAATTTTCGCCGACTTTCAATCTGAAAATCTCGATTGTTTCAGCAAAGCGCGAGCGAGGATTCTCGCATATATCTTAGAAAAAATTGTTCTAAATTTGTGAAAAGTTTCATCAAAATCTGAACGCCGCACTTGGAGTACTTCCCCTGTCAGTCAATTTTGAAGTTTTCTAGCAAAAAGCAATCTCATTTCTATGCGAAAAACATTTTCCCATACAAGATTTGTACGTTACCTTGAAAGATATCCATTGCCGATGAGACCGTGTGATTTGATGCAAGTATCAGCTCCGTTGAGCCGAAAATGAAGACAAGAAAGGCCAATTGCTCTGGCATCGAGATGGAATATTTTTTTATCAAGATGGCGATACAATAAGGATGACCGCTCATCCCTAAACGAGCCTTATAAACGAGGATATGTTTGTACAACTGGCTATGCAGTAGGAACATAAAAGTTTGTTTTGAACGTGGGTTATATGTATACATATAATGTTTTAATAGTATCAGCCCATAGAGAAAATGGTGAGCACTTTGTCGGAACGCAAAATCGCCGCCGAGAAAAAAATTATGTCGCGGAAAAGTCAAATTTCTTTTCACTTCAATGACGCGATTGGCGCAACGACATTGTGTTCATTATTTTCCCGGCTGACCGGCAATTGGTCAAAAAATCGAAAATTATTCGTTTGAATTTAAAGCAAACCCTTCAGACAACGATTTGATAAGTCGTAATTAATGATTATTACGCTTATTTATTCGCAAATTACTAAAGAATGTAATAAAAATTCCAAAATTATTTAGAAGCATCTGTACAAGCCGATCACCGACGCCACAAAGAAGAAGAATGAGCTCTGCTGTTCCGTCAGTTTCCCTCCCCACAGGAAGTTCTGCGGCAGCAATCCAACGCCGGCAATAAAGTCGGAAACGGTGCCAACCAAGAGAATCCTGTCCATCGTCCGTTGCTCTTGCTTCTGCTTGTCCACTAAGCCGTGTTTGTCCTCCAGCGGCTCAATAAACAGGATTTTGCGGAGGTTCTGGATAATGGACGCGACCAACGCTGACACCCAACTGAATATCGCGTATTTGTACCAGTTCTCGCGGCTGATGGCGATCAGGTTTACGTCGTTCAGCCAGCAGCCTGAAAGGGTTGTAATTAGATTGCAAGTGAGGTGTTTTTGTTTAGAAACCGTTTTCTCTCCTGCTTTTTGCGTTTCTTAAAAAACTAATTGTATGTGGGCAAAAGGCCAAGATTTCTGAAGAGGCAAGTTCCTTGAAAGTTCGGTATAAGGCCCGACAAATGTCCATAAACTTTATACAAATGCTAATACGTTCCTTAAACGCCTTTCAACATTGTCCATTTTGGAAAACCCAAAAAACACTTGTTTTTATAGAGATTTTAGTCTGTCGGGAAAGGAATGAGCATTCCGTCGCATAAAAAATCGCATCGCCGCCGAGACAATGAAGTGTGTCAGGGAAAAGCCGGTTGTTTTCAATTCAGCGACACACTGAGCTCATTATTTTCCCGACTGATTGATAACTTCTAATTTTACAATACATTAACAATGATCTACAGTTTGCGGGAATTTTTGATGTGGTATTTCATGCAGTACGGCTTCCAACACTTACCAAACTCAAACACCGCATAAAGACAGTATCCGATCATGGTGAACAAGCTGAGTCCGGTCTCCACTTGGTCGGGAGACTGCCGAAAAACCTTCCACAAGTTCATGGTCCCGTAAAACAATGGGATATGACTAAACTGTCGCGATACCAGCCGAGCCTTGCTGATCTGCGCTGCCAGCAACTTGAGATTCTTGGCGAACTCCTGGTTTTTGACTCTGTTGGATATCAAGAACAGGCCAAAGCAGAGGGATCTGAAACGAAAATTTTGAAATTTTGAGAAATTTTTGGAGAAAACAGATTTAAAAAAAAAGCTTGTATCGTATTCTAGCTTGAAGTTGGAACCACTGACTTGTTGTCAATTTGAGGAGCAAATCACCTTTTTCCGTTAAATTTAACTATTCAAAGCTTGCGGAGCCTTGTAAAATTGCTCAATTTCAAAATTAGATTACAGAGAATTACAGTTAACGCTGCTGGTCAACCGAAAGGACCCAAATGCTACAGTTTTTCGCAGTGTTAATCCAATTATTTCACTGTTTCTGGACTTTTTTGTCTAATGTTTTTCAGTATTATTTATATCAGTCAGTCGGGAAAATAATGAGCAATCTGTCCAATCGAAAATCGCATCGCTGTCGAAAAAACGAACTGTGTCGCAGCAAAATCAATTTTTTTTTTCATTTCAGCGACACGATTGGCGAAACAACATTGTACTCATTATTTTCCCGACAGACTGATAAGATTTTCCGCTTAGTACGCTTTTTTTTACTCATCGCGCAAAATGGCCTCATTGTCAGAAACTTCACAGCAACTCGATTGACAATGGGTTTCTTTGGAAAATATTTACTCACCTCATCGCCTTGTCTCTGCCATTGTAAGACCCGAGGACTTTAATGACTTCCGTCATTTTTGGTGGTCTGTTCAACATCTCTTCGGATTGACAGATGCCTAAAACATTACAGTAGAATGACAAAATTTGATAAAGCGTTTGAAAAAAAAACATGGCACATTTTCTACATAAGGACAGCAACTGCTAACAGTGCAAGAAATAACAATGACAGGGTGTTCCAAAAGCTTGGAAAACGTTGTAAAAGCAACAAAAAGACAAAAACAAATTATTAAACCGATCGGCACAAAATGTGTAGTTGCTCGAAAGATCAAATGGGGAAAACAAGAGAGAATGATCGCTGAAACCTATAAATTTTAGCAAGCATATTATATATACGTATCTTAAGTCAATTGATCTCGTCAGGAAATATTGTGCAATTTAGCAAGGGCATTTTTGAAGTAAGCGGCTAGAAAATCGACACGTGGCAGCTAGAGAGCCTGTATCTTTTCGGAAATTTCCTTATATTAAAATTAGAGCCCTCGGGATGGCGTGAATAAATTTTTATCGCGCAATGCAGAAATTTTCGAATTTTTAATCCAAACTTGATATAACGAAGCCATAAACATAGTATGCCAAGCTTTTTCAAAAGTGCGTAGACTTTTTATGGCAATGTGATTTTTTATTAGTCCGTCGGGAAAATAATGTGGATTTGTCGCGCTCTGGAACGTCATCGCTTTGGGATGGCTAGCCGCGGCTGGGAGCTTGATGAATACGCGACTGCGGCGAGGCGAGACGTTTTACTGCGGCAAATCCACATTATTTTCCCGACAGATTGATGATGGGTTGGCGCAGTAGAGATTGCAAATAAACTTTTTAATTTTCTACCAGCTCTATGAAGCAGTTTTAAACCCACAAAACTTTTCATCAAAAAACTTTTCTCAAAAGAGTCACCTCATGTAACGACTTGTTACTCCTTTAGACGCACTATGTACCACACAAATTTTTTCGCATTATTGTTGTTGCGTGGAGCTTATTCTCTTTGAGTAATTTTTTTCTTAATGGATTGAACCCGTAATTCCGTTGATCAAATTAGTATTTTCATTAACGGAACTCAGTGAACTGCAATGGGCGCGTGTTAGACTCGGAAAACAGTTGTGGCAGGGTGTTTTCAACGGTGTTTATTTGCAAGGGATGTGTTTGCAATGCAACGCTGGTTTTTAACTGCACTCGGCAAAATTTAGATTACTTGTTTCAAACAATAAGGCATTTGCAAGATGTCTTGCGCGTGCTTTGTAGAACATACTGAAATTTATCAACATTTGAGGCCAAAATGTTGGTAAAGTCTCATTTGATCATTGCGAGTTCATGCATGAAAAATTCGACACTTTTTTCTACCGAGGAAAACTACCTTTTAACAAAAAAAGGCAAAAATATCGGTCTGTCGGGAAAGTAATGAGCTCCTCGTTGCATCGAAAGTTGTATCGCCGCCGAGAAAGTGAATTGTGTCGCGGCAAAATCAAATTGGTGTTACCTTCAGTCGGTGCAACAACACTGTGCCCATTATTTTCTCGACAAACTAATAGTCCGTCCGGAAAGAGATTGATTTTGGCACCATGCACTCTAAAAAAGGAAAAACTTGCTTTTACACTGCGCAATTTTGGGATGTTCACGGGATGTCAGATGCCAAAAATCACTCCACCGGCTTTACAAACGGAATAGTAAAAGAGTATCTCCATTGATTTTCCTCAAAGCAATACAGCAGCGCACGTCAAACTGAGGAGTCCGGTGACCAGAATAGACTCTTAGCTATTGATTTTTTACACTTCGTCTTGATTTGACAGATAAGACAGAGAAAAGAAGGGCAAAAACCCGCTCTTTCGCCTCAAAAATTCCCCATTTCTTCCTCGACAAAAAGTGTTTTACCGTCTTTTTTTTGGCGAGTTGCCAATCCATACCTTATCCTACAACCTTTATAAAAACCAATTCACTTGTAAGATTTTCAGTTTATTCGATATCGGTAAAAAAATGCGTGGGTAAAATGCATAATTACAGACAACAACAAAGCACTTTTGGCGAGGACTTTGAAAGCGATGATAAAATTACAAAACATACATTTTGGCAAACATATCACGAAATACCGCGAAAACCTAAAGTGGTGAGGAGAAACGAGATCATTTTTTGACATTCTAGACGTAAGATGGGTATGACCAGTTGCAATGAAACTCAGAATAATGAGATTTTATACGAAAAATTCAATTTTTGAGTTCGTTGTAAAGCGTAAGGGATTTTTGGCATGTTCTCTTGAGCAGTCCTAGTGGTCTACAACTCTCACACCCCGTCTAAACCATCCACTGCTCATCAGCATCGTCTAAATAGACATTAACAATAAACGCCTCGTCAGCCGGCGACAGCTGATTCGTTTGCCCATTCAGGCAACCAATCTTCTCTCCGTTGTCCATTTTCATCCCAAAGTCCGAGGGAACGGCCACGGTTTTGACTTGTTTCAAAGCTTTGGCTCGATTTGTGAACAGAGTTCCCAGACTTTCGAGGGTGTCCATGGAAGCCTCGAAAATCGGCCGATTGCAAGAGCAATATACGGGATATCGAATGGCGCTGAAAAAATTTTAAAATGCGGCGTTAAAAGAAAAAAAATCAGTTATAAAAATAAGCGCTTTTTGGATGTCTTCAAGAAATCAATACTATATAGACGAAATGTCAAATCTAGAAATCACAAATTTTTCCTTTCTGGCGATACAAAATCAATTCAAAATGGCATTTTTAGTTCTAATTTTAAGAACTTCCAGTTTCTGCATAACGCGTTTTGAAAAAGCATTTAATAAAATTCAAAAAATTTACATGCAGAAACGTCAATTTAAACTAAAAAATCTTACCTGCAAAGCAGCGCCATGATGCTCATAATGTCATTCATATACGAATAAAACTCCTGAAAGTCCTCCTCCAATGACTGTCGATGAAACGCCTCCCAGAAAGTAATGATCACTTGTAGAAATTGAGCAGTAATATACAGTGAGACTACAGCTATTAGAGCTCGAGTCGCATCCTAAAGCAATAAAAAATATGCAAAATATGACATGCATTTTTTTGTTTAAACAGAAAACGAGATTTCTAATAGATTTTACCCACCCTCAAATTGCGTTTCGTCGCCTTCTCGTTGATCGACATTGCCCGTTGCTCCAGAACGGAGAGTTTTTTGTTTTCATTCTTTATCGTCCTGATTATCATGCAGTTCATGAAGAGCAGGCCAAAAAACGGAATGACTCGATCAATTAGGTTTCTGGCCACGAACATCCACCAAAACCTGAAAACAGTTGTTGTATTTTCAACATGATAAGAGTAATTTTGGAAATTTAATTCAAAGAGCTTTTTCAAAATTGACAAAAACAAGAGTAACGCCTCCGTCTTTTAGTCTTCTACAGTTTTTACTTGATAATAGAAAACAATCAAAGCCAAAAAAGCCTAATCCTCCCTTACCTATAATTGTAACTCTCCATGACAATTGTGGTCGGCATGATTTCATATCGACTCCAGTCGGTGCAGTTCTCGTGCTCTACATACTGAATTTCAAAATACGTGCAGAGTTTGTAGAGAACTGCGCCAAACACCGCCGCGAAACAGAGACGAGGCCTGTTTGATTCCATAAATCTGAAAATAGATGAAATTAAACGTAAAAGAAAAGTTATTTTTTAAAAATTTTATGGGTAAATGCCCGTAAGCTAGGCAAAAAATTTTATTGTTATTTCTTGTAAGGCTGATCAAAAATCCGCCAAGAAAAATGAATTATTTCGCGACAAAATCAAGTTTCTTTCCACTTCAGCGACATGACTGGTGCAGCGACATTGCCCCATTATTTTCTCGACAGGCTGTTATTAATATTTCTTCCAGAGAGTACAAAGGTTTCACGTAAACCCAATTTTCTCAGCACGATATAAGTGAAGATATAGCCCGAAGGGATTTTTTGTTGTAGCCGTTCCCCGTATTTCGTGTAGTCTTTTTCGGCGACAAAAATCGTTGATACTCACTTTCTAACCACCTCCAACTTATTGGACGGATGAAACGTGGCCAACAGCCTCTCCATTGTCGCACACAAAATCATCAAAATCGACGCGAACATGGCGCTGTTGCTAATGGTCATCATTGGTCGCAAATACCCGAGAAACAGATGGTACAGCCACAAACATTTGAACTGATCCATATAGACCGGCACTACCATCAGCGCCAAATAATTCAGGGCAAGAATGGCGTCCAGCATGGCGAGAACGCCGAAGTAATACAAAGGCGATCGACGGAGGTTGGAGTTGGTGAGGAAAACGAACGTGAAGAACGTGTTGAACAACAGGGAGAAGATGGCAATGACAACGGCAAAAACGCCAATGAGGTAGATCTTAACGTGGAGGAAGTCGGTGCCCTGAAAAGGAAGTGTAAAAATTGGAGAGTAAAATAAATGATGCGATCAAACTTCACGTCTTCCTGAACTTGAGAATATAAGGCAATTTTTGAAGATAGATACGAGCCTTATAACCCGTTACTTACAATGTAATAGCACATTTCATCATCATACATCTGGTCATCAATGACCGCAGCCTCGGCCGCAAGGCCGATCTGACCCGTCGAGTTGATCATACTGTAAAAATTCCACCTTCTTCCAGCTTCCACTCCTGTTGAATTTTTTTCCTCCTACTTGAAGCACAGTACAAACACCGTCTTATATACTTCGCCTCCAAATATTTGAACTTCAGCTGTAATCAGAGGGACGCAGCTGATTTTATGAACTGAAAAGCAAAAAAAATTATTTGCACATCAAAACGAACAGTTAAAATGAGATTAAAGCACCGAGAATGTTCTGCCCTCTGTTAAGCTCCATGCTGGTCCACGGGAAAAACAACATTCTCGTGCACAAATAGAGAATGCTAATGCCTATAATCGCGCGGAACAAAGTGCAGACGGAGGGCTATAATGTCAAAGAGATGGTGGTGTTTGGTTGCAAATGGCATATTAAGTGGGAATTGGACGTAAAATGGGGAATACGTTAAATTTAAGAGATAAAGATTAGGGGGTTCGAATTAAGACAGTAGTAAAAATAGACTTTATTAAAAGCACTATTTATGAGTCACCAAAGTCCATAGTTAGATCAGGACATACAATTTTTTTCTATATTGAGTTTTTTGTAGAGATACGACCTACAAAACCAACAGAGAAATTAGAAATGTATTTTATGCAAAGTTCTACTTTTACAGTAATGGATAGCATCTCGCCGACAATTTAGTTCTAATGCGTAAAAACAGTGCCATGTAGCGAAGTCTTTGGGTATGGCAAATTTTTTGGTAGCACTTCAAAACCGTCCCACGGGTCTGACTTTTCGGGTCGACGACAGTTCGGATCAACACAAAATCGATCGATACGAGGCGTACGATATGCGGAGACTCAAGTAAAAGTTGTAAGACGTACACTCGAGGCTTGGCAATCGCCGGATGGTCGGCGAAGGTTCGGCGGAGACCTCGCAAAGGCTTTCAATATGTTCACTTTTTCTAACTTTAGTTATTGCTAGGGCTTTCCAATGGTGTATAACACTTACCATTTGGAGAGGGTTTCTTTTGTACACTTCCCTAGTTTGTTTTATTGACCCTGAGTTGTTATATACCCACATAGAAAAAACCAAAGCTAGCTCCAGAAACGAACATCCGTAGGCATTAGCTGGATTTTATTGCAGTACAAGTAAGATACCTCGAAATAGCTGAAGTAAACATTCATGGATCTGACCAGTCTTATCATTTCTGTCAACTATGCTTTTTCCTAGCATCTCTCATGCATTAAAACAACAAATCGGCTACCTAAATTATCGTCGACCCTAACTGTTGCCGACATGAAAAGTCATAGCGCCAACCGTCCAACAAAAAGTCTGCAAAAATTCGGCGATTTCTACCGTAAATTTTAAGAAGTCAGACATCTAAGGTGGTCATTTGAGAACCCCTCGTATTAGAAAACGGAATAACTAAAACATTGAAACAGTTTTAAAGGAACCAAATAAAACAAAATTGACGCGATGACGCTATGTAGCCCTCGTGTCATGATCATTGTTGCATGATACAAGATTCAATTACGGATCAAAATGAAATGTCGTGTAAACACCGACGATTAGAATAAAAAGAGCTGGGAGACGCGAGAAGAATACATAAGGAGTTTTTAAAATACCCACTGGAAGTCTGGAAAGACAAACGTGGATTTTCCCTGACAAAATGATGGGCGATTCTGAGGCGCGGCGAATCCAAATTATTTTCCAGACAGAGTATAAAATAAAGAAATTTTGACTACCTTTGCCCCTGTGAGCTTTTGTGAAGGCTAAACCGGGCTGCGCCGGTCTCGACTTTCACCGGATGGGGCCAATGAAACTGTAATAAAAGTAATATATATAATATAATAATTTAACACCAGCCGCGATCCATGACCCGCGGTGTCCAGTGGTAGTACTCCAAAGCCATGGTGTCCATTTAAAGCGATATCACAAAAAATAAAAAAAAATCTAATTAAAAATTCTGCAACCGCCCTCCCCCTTCGCCGTCATCACTTTTGAAAACAAATATGTTTATGTACAAAGACGGGTTATCTTTTTTCATATAACCCGAATCCGTTCTTATGAAAATCTCTTCGTAATGCTCCAAAGAAGGGGGTCCCGTTTTGATGACGTCAACAAGGAACCGTGAACAGAAACCATAGACAAAGACGAATCTGCAATTCTTGAGGAATAGACCTGAGAATAAATATTGGTTTTTTGCAGAGAATACCCTGTAATATTAATGCTGTAATACTAATGTATTTGCATAGTCCAAGAGAACTTTCTGGCCGACCGAAGAGTTGAACGGAAAAAAAGTGCAATGAAAAGAGTTATCGACAAAGACCAAAATATTAGGGTATCTGCAAGGAGTGGGAGTTTATGGATGAGGGAGCCGACAGGAAACTTGGTTAGCCTTAACATCTCCCACAGTAATTCGGCTTTTTTCGAATTTCGGTGCTAAGAAGGCTCTGCCTCAACAAGGAGTAGGTCTTGATGAAAGAATAACGCCTAGTTTTTTTTGCAAGATATAATTTTTCTGAGAGTACATTTTCACTTTGGTCTCTGCCTTTAGCACCATTTTCCCAGTCGTACTTCCCGGGCATGGAGAAAACAAGCTTTGAGGCTCAGCCCACGTCAAACGAAGTGCTCAATGAATTCAAATTTGCTAATTACCACAATAATCATCGACCAATGTTTCCCTCTTAAAATCAACTCAAAATAACAAACATGTCTTCCGCCCACTTTGAGTTTGGCTCAAAACGAAGTGTCGCAATCAGAGACTGCCACGGCTCCGGAGCCGGCTCTTGGCTCCGGCTCTGAGCGGATCCGGCTCCGAGCCGGGAGCCAGAGCCGGAGCCGGAAATTTTGGGTACGGCTCCGGCTCCCGAGCCCAAAGTCGGAGCCAGACTTCACAGCGTTCAAAAAAGTAAAAATTTAGTGGTCTTTTTAAAACCAAATTGCCTGGAAAATACTGGGAAGGGTGTGTTGCGTACGACTTGGCTACAAAACGTTGGCTGTATGATCTCTGGCACACTAAGAAGTTTTACTTTTGAAAAAATGCTTCAAAAAAAATTTTTTGCACAGGAGCCGAGGTTCGGAGCCGGAGACCTTTTTTAAACTTTGCACGGAGTCCGGAGCCGAAGCCGAAATTTTGACCGTGGCAATCTCTGGTCGCAATCGACAAAAAAATAATTCGATGCTCAAGCCCACAGGTCCTGTGGCGAAACACAAACTTTCTTGCAGCACGAAACACAACTTGGTCCTCCTCACCGTATTTTTATTTTGACCTTTGCCCCCTCCCCTTTCTAGGGCCCGGCTTTCCAGGTTCCTCTTGGCCTAGCCCGACAGCCATGTAAAACCCCTTTTATACATTTTGTAATACGTATAAAAAAGATGATTTTCTCATCATTCAGCAAAGGGCGTGTTTTATTTAGAATTAGAGGTTCTTTGGATCTTCTGGATATCGTAAAAACAACAAAAACCAACATTCTCATTCAAAATTCCTTACGAACTCGCCGGACCAAAAACAAGATTCATAACTTATAGTATTGCCATAAACACCATGCCTTTTCTCATTCATGACCCATTCCACGCACTATGCGCATTCTAAAAATATGACCTTTTCACAACAAACCGCTACAGTTCGCAGAGTTTGCTTAGACTTGATGCTAAATGTGATGTAATCAGGTCTTCAACGAAGTTGCAGTACCCTCATCCGCAAATTCAATAAGAGGTAGAGCGAAATTGGGTCAAAAGAAAAAAGGGAAGTTAAAAACAAAAAGTTTAATTAAATTCAAGCTGACAAGGTCTCAAAATACCAATTGGCGGCTATTTTCAGGCACCTCCGTTGTTGGTTATTTTAACAGAACGTGTTAAACCAAATCTACGTCAGTGGGTTGGAAGAAAACGACGAAATTCAGTGGTCATTTGAAGGATATTGAAGAGATAACGATTATTTGCTGATAAAAATCACTAACGGTAGAAAAAAATAAATAAAATAGACTGTGTTAGATTTAAGGGAGTACAAAAAATATCTTATAGTAAAGCGAGGACTTCACAGTTTGGTTTCCAGATGGAAATTTTCGCGTCAGGACCATGAAAAGGTGGTATTTTTTGGCTCGCCTTATAAAAAAAAGCAAAGTCTAGGAAAAATCTTTCCTTCAAAAAGTTCCAATTTGCGAATCGCCACAAAAAATTTTATTCATGGAAGAAATTATTTGAGACCTTGTAGACGTGTTTAGGCGCCTTGAGCATTTTTTAATCGTTCAACTCCCTGGGAAACGACTGAAGAACCAAGACGTTCGCAGCTTAGGAAATTTTTATAATTTTTTTGACTTCTCAACTCTCCAAAGGAATCCAAATCTGCATATTGCTCTAATCCGGAACGCTGAACACACCGCCGAGGCCATTTCTTTCCCACCCTCCACTTGCGCATAGGAAGAGGGGAAAAAAGTTCTTGGACATTCGACGAGTGGAGAGCGGACAGTGAGATGCAATTAAGCGACGCCAGAATTAGTTTAAAAAGCATTTGAAACGATGGCTGGACCAAGCGGGTTGAATTTCGCAAAACAATGCCTGTTTATGGGCTTTGGCGATACGGTAGCGAATAGTACACACATGTTCGGCGGGCAAAAAGACAGAGAGAGCGGGTTCAAGGAGATTTCGGCGCTCATTAACTGATATATCGGAAAAAATCGGCGAAAATTTCCAGGAGAAAGAAGTTCAATTTGAATTGGCATCCGAAAGATGTTAATTTGCTTGAGGCAAAAGTACAGAGTCGTTTAACAAACAAAGGCCCTTTGGAAAAACATTGGTCGTTATCTCCAATTGACCCACGATGACGTTGACAAATGATGACACAACCGGAAGCCATTATTTTCCATCAAAAACTTTCTAGGCATCAAAATTGCGAAAAAATTGCAAAATTGCGGATAAAGCTATATGCAAAAATTTGTTCCAAGAGATTAGTCTAACACGTGATATTGGAGAATGACAGGTAGATTTATAAGACTCGAAATCAAAACGTCACTGATGCCTACATCCCGTTCAACTTCAGGGTAAAAGGAACTCTGCCAAAGATCCATCAAGACTGAAGCCAACGCCTAAACCCATCAAGGAGTCCAAAAACCCGATCAAAAATCCCCGGCCAACCATAACACGGGAAATGATGCCTCAGCCAACGGTATTCAATTACTGCATCCTACACAAAATTAGCTCCAATGTAAACAACAGAAACATCAGGGCCGCATTAAACAAGAACGTAGGGCTTCGAGCAAAAGAACAATGGCGTTCTATAATATTTGATATCGGCT